TTTAAATTATATGAAAAAATAATATTTTTATTTATATGTAAAAAAAAAACAATATAAATTATTTTATGATAAATTAAACAATATTTAAAGTGTGGATTAAAATTATAATTATATCGATCAATCATTTGAGTATCACACTTTGCTATTTTATTTTTTTTTATTTTTTTTTTTTATTAATCAGTAAATGATAAAATAAAATAAAATAAACTGTGTTGTGTTTTATTTGTTATTATTGTGTTGTTTATTTAAATAAAAATAAAAATAATAATAATAATAATAAAAATGATGATGATGATTGTGATTATGATTATGATTGATAATGATTATTGATTATTGATTATTAATAATTAATAATACTAACTTTTTAGAAATATAAATAAAATAAATAAATAAATAAATAAATAAATAAATAAATAAATAAATAAATAAATAAATAAATAAATAAATGGTATATGATTAAAATATTAAAACAATATACAATAAAACAACGTAAAACAAAATAAATTATGTGCTCGAAATAATTATATTAATTATTATTAATAATATAAAATTAGAGTGATTGATGATGCTTTTTTGTTTCTTTACTATTATTTTTTTGTGATATAAAATATTATTATATAAAATAAAATAAAGCTATTTTGTTACACTACTACTGCTGCTCTACTAAACAAAGATATAATGATAATGCATACAGTATTATAGAGCGAAATAAATTGAATATATTTTATAAAAAAAAAAAATAAAAAAAAAATATAAAAACCAAGCACTAGGTTTTAAATTTAATAATAATATAATAACTATTATTTTTATTAATATTATTATTATAATTTAAATTAAAATAATATAAATGTTATAACATATAAATGTTATATATTAGTGCCTGTGGGTGGGTGTTTGTGTGTTGGCTAAATAATACTATGTGTTGAAATAAGTGTGGTTGTGTTTATATATACATTTAGAGAGAAATAATATAATTAATTATATGTTGTTGTCTTGTTAAATAAATGAATAATGATAATACTTTTTTCAATTTTATTTTATTTTATTTTATTTTATTTTTATTTTATTTTTTATAAATTTTTTTTTAAATAATAAAAATAAGTGTGTGTATGTGTGGGTGGATGTGTTTGTATGTGTGTGTGTGTGTGTATTAAATTTCAATTCTATTTTGAGACTGTGATTGATGTTGAGATTTGAATTAAAAATAATGATGTGTGTGTTATAGTGTGTTATTGTGTTGGAGTTAATGTGCTTAAATAATTTTATTTTGCACTAAATATATATAACAATTTAATATAGATATATAAATATATATAGATTGACTCCAAAGTTTTTTTAACATTAATTAATTTTTAAAAAAAAAAAAAAAATAAAAAAAATAATAAAAAAGAATATTTTACATTATTATATTTTAAATATTAACAAACAAATTATTTTTTTTTAAAAAAAAAAAAAAAAAAAAGTGTGGGTGTGTGTGAGTATGCTTGATGGTTACTCATCATGAAAAATTAATATTATTAATATTTTAATATATATAGGGGGTGATGCCTTTATTGTCTAAGAAAAAAAAAAAAAGTTTTAAAATTACAACTTACCTTTAGATGTAAATTGTGTGCCATATGCTGTTTTTTTTTTCTTTCCTTAAAAATTATAATAGGAATTTAAATGGTTATAAAAAAAAAATTATTATTATTTAATGTGGGTTTTATATTTTTCATTCTTTTACTTTTCTTTCCTTCATCCTCTTTTTGTATCAGATTTAGGGTTTAATTGGTGTTATTTTTATAATAATAATAATTTTGGTTGAGGGGGGTTTTATTTGTGTTGGTAGTGGTGTTGAACATCCCAATGTGTATTTAAATTATTGAAAAAAAACAATTTTAGATCTATAACATTAATAATTATTCTAACTTTTTTTTTTTTTTTTTAACTCCACCAAAATAACCCACTTTCTCTGAATATGATAATTAATAAATTATTATACCATTTTTATTTGTTTTTTTATTAATGTTAACATTTTTCTAAAAGATATTTATTGATTATTTTTTTTTGTAAATAATTATGTGTGCATTTTTGATGATCATCAACAAGATAATTATTAAAATGCTTTTAAAAAAAAAAATTATAAAAAAAAATATAAAAAAATAAATTTTGTTTATAAAAAAAAAAAAAAAAAAAATTTTTTTTTAAATTTAATTCAAAAAAAAAAAAAAAAAAAAAATTCATTCGGCCTAATTGTCATTGTTACTAATAACATATTTGTTGTGTTTAAACAACAGTTAAATATATATAAAATGTTTGAAAATTTAAAAAGAAAATTCCCAAGATCACCAATCTACTATGCCACATCACTAACTATACTTTTTGGATCATTTTATTTAATGGACAAATATTTACAAGGAGGATACTGTATGCATTTTTCAATTTTACAACCAATTACTAATCATTTACTAACAAATCATTCCCCTATTTATCCTTTTTATTGCTATATAGATCAATATATTAAATATCACAACGAAAAAAGAGTCGAAAAGGAAAAAGCTATTGATGATTTAGCAAGAAACAGAATTAAAAAAAGAAAAGAAGAAAAGGATAATCAACCAGAAGATTCTCAAAACAAAAACAATTAAATTTTCTTATTCATCTCATTTTTTTTTTAAATTTTCAAATATTATATTAAAATAAATAAAATGGAACTGTAGCAAGAACATAATAAAAACAAGAAATGTAAATAGTATTAAAACGAATAAAACAAACAAAATATAAATAAATAAATAAACAAAAACTTTTTTTATTTTTTTAATCATATCATATTTTTATTCATTCTATTAATCTGAAAATCTAAATATAACATTTTTATATTTTTTTCTTTTTTTTTAAATAACCCAAAAATAAACTGACCTAAAAAAAATATAAAAATAACAGCACCCCCCCACTGATTCCAAATTAAAAATGGTATATTTACCACACTACACACTACTTTTTTTATTTTATTTTTTTTACAAATTAATTCAAGTTAAATTTTCATAATAATCAATTTAGTTAATATAAAAAGTTATTATTATAAACTTGCCAATCATATTTTTTAAGGAAAAAATAATTGTAAGATTACAAGTGCAAAAAAAAAAAAAAAAAAAAAAAAAAAGAAAAAAAAGGAAAAAAGGAAAATAGGTTAAAACACACATCAGAATTATATTTAATTTAATAAAAACATAATTAAAATAATTATTACTTGCTCTGCAACTTTAAATATTATAATTATTTAAATAAAACTAATAGTTAAAAAAAAGAAATTTATATAAATTTTAATTTTTTAATTTTTATTTGTATTTATTTTTTTTTATTTATTCGTCATCTTCTTCTTCCTCCTCTTCTTCCTCGATATCATCTTGATCGACATCATCTCCTTCTTCAAAGTCTTCTTCGTCCAAATCGTCAACTTCGTCAAAATCTTCCTCGTCATCATCCTCATCTTCCTCGTCATCACCTTCCATTTCGACATTAAGTTTCATTTTTTTAATAGTTTGGTTGGCAACAGCTTCATCATCCTCTTCATCATTTTCATATTCATCCTTGTCCTCTTCTTCTTCCTCTTCTTCTGATTCTTCATCGTCGCTATCTTTATCTACTGAAACTATAATGAATAAAATTTTATTAGTACCACATCAATAATAAGCCAACTATCAATAGTTATAACTATTACTTACCAACATGACCAACTGATAAAGTGGTTAATCTAAAACCAGTTTCGGCAATACCTACTGGCATCTTTGTATCAAAATTCCAAACAAGAACCAAGCCATCTGATGAAATTGTAACAACATATTTCTTATCATGTTCTTTAAATGTTAAAATATCAATTGCTTTAATTCTATTGCTATGGCCTTCTAAAACCTTAACAATCTTTTTACTTTTAAGATTTATAACTGAAACAACTTTATCTTCACCACCAACCAATAATGTATTTGCCTGGAAAGTAACAAGAGTTAATTAATATCCAAAATATTTAAATAGTAATTAAAAATAAATAATAATAATAATAAACTTACATCAAAATATTTAATTGCTAAAACTTGTAATTTAAATTCGAATGATGATATCTCTTGGAAATCATTGGCATCATATACAACAACTTTATCTTTGAAAACTACAGTATATTGCTCTCCAGATGGTGACCATTGTACATTAAAAGCTTCAGTTTTGAACTTGAGGAAATGTGCGCTTGTACCTTTGGTAAGATCCCAAAGGAATAATCTTCTATCTTTACTGACACTGAGTGCTGCCTTACCTGATGGATGAATACTAATTGAATTAATTGCACCCTTTGGACCTGACATTACCTTGAGACATTCCCAATCACTAACTCTCCAAACACTAATTGTATGGTCCATTGAACCTGCAAATAAATAGTTGTTTTTATAAAATTCCATCGAAGTAATAAATCCTTCATGTTTTTGCAATTGACCAACTTCTGAACGATTTGCTAAATTATAAACCCTAAATTATTATTATTATTATTATTATAATTGGTTAGTTTTAATACTTTTGGTTTCTTTGTATTATTTTTTATATTTATATGAATATTTACTTTGAAGTTTCATCAGTACTAGAGCTAACTAAAGAATTTTTACATGAGGCTAAGCTTTTAATGCAACCTGTATGTGATGAATAACCAAAAATCATTTTAAGATCAACTTCGAAATTTTCATCATTGGTTTTATCAGCTACATAATTTGCTTCATAACCTAAAATAGAGTTTTCATAGCAACCAACTGAAATAATTTGTTTAAATGATTTATTTGATTGTTGTTTAATTGGTACTTTAACTGGTGCTTGTTCAACAACTTTTTCTTTTTTTTTAATAATTGATTTTGGTTGTTGTGGTTGTTGTTGTTTAGCTGGTTGTTGTGATTGTTTAGTTGGTTGTTGTTTAGCTGGTTGTTGCTGTTGTTTAGCTGGTTGTTGCTGTTGTTTAGCTGGTTGTGGTTGTTGTTTAGCTGGTTGTTGTTTAGCTTGGACTGTTACTTTTTTTTTATCATCTTCTGGAGTTGATATTTTAACCTTTTTTGAAGTTGATACTTGTTCTTTTTTTTCGACTTCGTTTCTCTTTTTATTTGGCATTTTATGTTATATATACAAAATATTATATATCCGTTTCGTCTATGTAATATTAAAAATTATTCTGAAAATTAAAAATAAATAAAAAAAATTAAAAAAAACGAAAAAATAAAAAAAAAAAAATTTTAAAAAATAGTTTTTTAATTTTTATTTTTTAAATAGTTTTAAAATTGTTTTTTTTTTTTATTTTTTATTTTTTTTAGAAATTAACACCATCATTGATCGAATTTAAATTAATATTAACTTAATATTAAATTAATTTTTTTTTTTTTTTTTTTTTTTAAAAAAAATAATTAAATTTATTAATAACACAGTCAATTATGATAATGGAAAAATATTAAAGAAATACAAAAATAGTTTTTTTTTTTTTTTTTAAAATTTTTTTATAATTTTATATTTTATTTATTTTTAATTTATAATGATATTTTATAAATTATTTATTCTTGATACAATTGTTGCTTTTGGACAACTTGTTGTTGTTGTTGTTGTTATTGTTTTAAAGGTGAAGAGTACATATTTTCTGGTTTTTTATTGTAAAGTGTATAGACTAAATTTGTTTGAATAAATTTAATTTTTTCATAAGTTTTTCTATCTAAATAATGTTTCAAGTAAGCTTGTTTAACTGTTAAAATTTGACCTCTGTGTGGGATATAGGATATGGTTTGTTCTTTTGGTTTATTTGAAACAATAATTCTAGATTTATCAGAGTAAATAACTTGGATGGTTTTATCACTTAATCTAAAAGCGATACCACCTTCAAATTTGACCCATTTCTTTAAATAAATTGGACTTTCATCTGTATCTACGTTATTGCTGTTTGTATTGTTACTGCTATCAGTTTCGTTTTTATTTGGTATTAAATTTGAGGTTAATTCAGATTGAATAAAATGATTGGTAAAACATTTAATTAAAGTCACCTTCTTTTGTGTATCGTGTGGGTGTTGCAAATTAATATTTAAAATTCTTCTGCCATCACCTTCTGAGCCCTTGGCATGTTCCATATAATGAGCAATTCTATAAAAAGAAATAAAAATTAGTAATAATTCTTAATGATTTATTATTGTACTCTTTTTACTTACTCGCTATCAATTAAATTTATAATTTTAGTAGAGTCATTAAAATAAGCACCAACATAGTTGTTTGATAATAAATAAGCTAAACCGTATCTATTGGTAAAATCTGCAAATTGTGAAATGTATACTAAATTACTTGGAAGACCTGTAAAACAATGATTTGGATCAAGTTTTTGTTGTGGTGCTTCTGAAATATGATTGTTTGCAATTTTAGTTTCTAATTCTTTAATTTGAGTATTAACAGTATTGCTAGATTCGTTGCCAATTGTTTGTTGTTGATACTGTTGTTGTTGGTATTGTTGTTGTTGCTGTTGGATATATTGTTGTTGGTATTGTTGCTGTTGTTGATATTGTTGTTGTTGTTGTGGAGGTATATTTTCATTAATGGTTGTGTATTGTTGTTTAAGTAATTGAGTTTTATAATCTGAAGAATAAAATATTTTTAATTAGTATGCTTTTAAAAATAGATATCTATTGCAAAAATTTTTAAATATTTACCGTTTTCTTTCATTTTTTCTAATCTTCTTAATTTTCTATAATGGAAATCGTCATTTTCAACTTCAGATAATTTTTGTTGAGAGTTTGGTGAAAGATTTGAAATTAATTGGTTATTGTTATATTTTTGTTGTGGTTGTTGTGATTGTTGTTGCTGTTGTGGAGCAATAGTTGTTGTTGTGGTGGTTGTAGTAGTAGTGGTAATTTGTTGTTTCTTTGGTGATTGAGCGTATTTACTTGGTGAAGCTGGAGGCAACATTTGGTTCATAATATTGGTTTTTTCGGCTAGTGGACGTTGATAATTAATGTTTGTTGGTGGAGTAGTTAATGCTGATGGTGGTAAACTCTTTGGAATAGTAGAGTATGTAAAAAAGTCATTCTCTAAAATTTGGGTTAAATTTGGTCTTTTTTCTATAGATTTCATGAAAAAAAACATATTAGTATTTAAATAATAATAATAATAAATAAAGTAGATTAATATTTACCTGGTACAGGATTTAAAATTGAAATAATTAAATTTTTTGCAGATCTTGAAATTATTGGTTCATCTGGGAATGAATATTGGTTTTGTTTGATTCTTTGATATGTATGTTTAACATCAGAAGTTTCAAATGGAGGTTTACCAATTAATAATGTATATAAAATAATACCAATTGACCAAACATCGACTTCATATGAATGGCCATTTGAATTATCTAAAATTTCTGGTGCAATATAATTTGGTGTACCACAGATTGTTCTTTAAGAAAAAAAATAAAAAAAATTAATACAATGGTTTTTTATATAGTTATATGCTATAAAAATATTTACTTTTTTCTTTCGCCATGTTCTACTTTTGTTGATAAACCAAAATCCCCTAATTTAATTCTCATATTGTCAATAAATAAATTACCAAGCTTTAAATCTCTGTGAATAATTTTTTGTGAATGAAGATATTTTACTGCCATTATAACTTGATATAAAAAGTATTTAGTTTCGTGCTCCATTAAATATTTTCTCTTTTTATGAATATCCATTACAGTCTAAGAGAGAAAGAAAAAAAAAAAAAAAAAAAGAAAACAAGAAAAAAAAAAAACAAAAAAAAGTTGTGTGAGATTTTTTTTGGAGGGATACATATAAAATAGTTTTTTTATAATTACCTTTTGATTGCATAACTCTAATAAAATATAAACATTTTCTTCATTTTCGAAACAGTGTTCAAACTTTACAATATTCTCGTGTGATAAAGAACTGTGAATTTTAATTTCGCTCTTCAACTTTGTTCTAGCTCTTGTTTTTTGGAGGTTTGATTTTGATATAATTTTAGCGGCATAAACTCTATTGGTTTCAACATCTGTCATTAAATAACATTTTGCAAAACCGCCCTAATAGTCAAAAAAAAGGAAAAAAATTAATAAGAGATCTTTAACGAGAAATTTATATTTGAATTACCTTTCCTAAAAACTCTCCTTGTCTGTATTCTTTTAATCTTTTGGTATCACCAACTTTAACACTTTCATAAACAACAATTGGCTCTTGTGGTTCATTAGATTTTTGTTGTGGCTGTGGTTGAGTTTGTTGTGGTTGAGCTTGTTGTTGTTGTTGCTGAATTGGTTGTTGCATGATTGTAGTTGTTGTTAAACTTGTTGTTGCTGTAATTTGTGGTGACTGTTGTTGTAGTTGTGGTTGTTCAGAGTTTGGTCTAATTACCATTGATTTTGTAATATGAATCGATGTTGATGGAATATTAGGTGGGCAATTTTCCTGATTTTCGCTGTTATAAGTATGTGGTGGTTGTTGATTATAATAATATTGTTGTTGCTGTTGTTGTTGATAATTAATTTGTTGTTGTTGTAGTGGCTGTTGGTTATTCAACATTGATGGTTGGTTATTACTATATAGTTTAAAGTTTTGATTGATTGAAACCATTTAACATATATACTAAAAATATCTATTTAAATAAATAAAATAAAAATGGACGAAAAACAAAAAAAGAAATAAAATATATCGATATAAAATTTGTGTTAAACAATATTATTTTTCTTTTTTTGAGAAAACAAAAAAAAAAAAAGATAAATTAAAAAAAAAAAATTTAATAATTAAATTAAATTTTTTTAATATGGTTTATTTGTTTATTATTATTACTATGTGTATGTGGAGTATTCTAATTTAAAACAATATATATATTATTCTATATTATACTATATTAAATTAAAATATTGTTTATTAAAATTAAAATTAGTTTCTTTAAAATTTCTTTTATTTATCTTTTTGCAATGCATAACACTTTTTTAAAAAATGATATAGAAAATACAAAAAAAAAAAAAATTTTGAAAATCATAAAAATAAAAAAAAAAAAAAAAAATTATCACACAAAAAATGGAGGTTTTTTTTAAAATTTGAATTTTTTTTTTTTTAATATAAGGAAGGGGGTAAAATTTTAACAGAATAATTTTAAAATTAAAATGAATATCAATAAAAAATATATTTAATAATATTTCTAATTTTTGAAAAAAACAATAATAAAATTAAAAAATAACACATTTATTTCAAAACAATTTGAAACGATTTTAAATTTAATTAACTTTTCTTTTTATTGAATAGTTTTAAAAAAAATAAAATATTTAAAATATTTAAAATAATTTTATATTAAATTAAACAATAATAAACTATTGATTACTACACTTATTTATCAAACATATTTAAATATATAGTTTTAAATAAAACTCCATTTGAAATACCTTTTAGTTTAAACTTTTATAAAAAGTTTTAGCTGTTAAAAAACGAATAAAAATTTTGAATTTTCAAAAAAAAAAAAAAAAAAAAAAAAACCCAACTATTTTTTTTCAAAAAATAATCTTATTAATAATTTAAACTTTTATAATAAATTAAATATATAAATAAAATTTAAAAATAATAAACCAAAATAATTTAAAAAAAAAAATAATTCAAAAAAAAAAATAGTACCAAAATCGCCATGTTTATTAATAAAGTTGAAGTGTGATGTGTGATGTGTGATATTGTGTGGTTACTGATATTTTAGAGAATTAATCCAGCTTTAATAAAAGCAGTATCGTTTGGTGGAATTTGTCTCTTGAATGAGTCTGGGTTTGTTCCTTTTAATACAGCCATCCAATAGGTCATTGATTGTAAAATATAAAGATTGGTTAAAACGCTAACTGGCTCGAGAATATTGGATGGTGATCTGAGGATGAAAAGATTATCGGCATGATCTTTGGTAATTTGAGAGATAGATTCGGTATCGGATTCTGGAATAATGACAGCCCCTTTTCCATTTACAAATAAAACAGCATTTAAAGCTTTAATGGAACGTTCGACAGCTCTTTTGGTTTTATCAGTTCTTTCGGTTACAACAAAAGTGGTACAGGTGTCTTTGTTGGTGGCAACGAATGGACCATGGAGATAAAATTCGAGGTTATAGCCTTGATAGAATGTGTAGGTGGCTTCTTGCATTTTTAATGATACTTCACTGGCATTTGATTCATTAGCGCCATAGGCAATGAAATAGTTGAGTGTACGAGTGTTTGCAAAGTCGCACCATTTTTTGATATCTTCAGTTGATTTTTCGTTAATACCTCTAAAGATTTGTGGTAATTGCTTGATTTGTTCTTCTAATTTAGCTTGGTTATCAATGGCAATGCCTCTATTCTTAGCAATCTCGACAGATAATAACAATGAACAAAGAGTTGAGCATGAGTGACTGATAGTGAAAGCGGCAGATTGTTCAATTTTGCTGGTTCTAATGATGGCATCCATTGGTTGATCGATGACTGATTCAGTACTGGTGATTAATACTGTATAAATACCCAATTCTTTATTTTTCATGTAAGCTTCGTATGAAAAAGTTTTAATACCGCTATGAGAGAAAATGATCATAGCACAATCATCTTTATTCAAATAGAATGGTGGATTTGAAATGAATTCGAAACTGTTGATGGCTTCACAATCGACATGTGCAATATTTCTGAGATAGAAATGGGCATTTTGGGCAGCATGTAAACTTGTACCAATACCAATTAAATAAACCTTCTTTCTGCTGCTTAATACTTTGGCAATGGATTTAATGTTTTCGGCTTCTTCATTTAAAACTCTTTCCAATGCTACTGGGGTATCCATAATCATATCATACATATTATGTGGATGTTGATTACGTAATGGGTTTCTAATTGGTTGCTTTTTTCTTAAATCTTCCATTTGTATTAGTGTGTGGTATTTTATTATTAAATTGATAAATGATGAATATGTCAAATCTTAAAAAAAAATTAAAAATAAAAAATGAAATTTTTTAAATTTAAAAAAAAAAAATTTAATATAAAAAAAAAAATAAAAAAATTTAATAAAAAAATTTAGGAAATATCTTGCCACGTTGCAATAGAATCCACCTTAAAATACCTTTTAGGAAAACTAAAGATTGGAGAATCAAATATTAAGGTAATTAAAACAAAAAAAAAAAACATTAAAATATGATTATTAATTTTTTAAAAAAAAACACACTCCGCTTGTGGGAAATTTTTCTTTTGTTTAATTAAATTTTTTTTTTTTAAAATTAAATTGATAAATAAATAAATTTCTTTTTTTCGACCTCTAAAACTATTAGTTTATGAACAACCAAATTGTTTTTTTGATTTTTCTTAAAAGTCCAATCTTTTCAATTAACAAAAATTACAATATAATAATAATTAAACAAATAATAATTTAAATTTAAAATCTTTTTTTATTTTGTTAAAAAACTTTTCTATTGATTGATGTTTATTTTAAACTTAGTTTATTAATTTAAAAGTTAAAGAAATTTTGGGTAATTTGGGATGATAAATACCAATCGTTATCAATTGTGAAATCAATATTTTTTGGTGTAAAATTGTTAATAATATCAATAACGGTTAATTGGAAGGATGTTGTTTTTGGGGTTGTACCTTCGACGACTTGGATGAACATTAATTCATCGAAATCACTGTTAACAATATATGGTTGGTAATTATATTGTAAGTAGTTTCCTAATGAGATGGTGTAGATGTCTTTGCAGTTATTGGTAATACCAAGATCAACTTTACAAACAGTAACATTAGTTTTTGAACCTGGGGTAGGTTTGATAACATACAAGTTACCATTTTGACTTGTAAACATATAATTAACAAGACCTTGGTCAATGTTTAAGAGTGGATAGGTAACTGTTTTGTATGTAGTGAGGTCAAGAGAGATAACGGTGGTTGTGTTTTGATTGGTTACATAACTAACATATAAAATTTGTCTATAATCATCTATTGCTTGTCTGGCTTGTGGATTTTGGGCAGAGTCGGTAACACCTAAATTGACTTTTAGCATTTGACCAGTACCAAAATTAATTTCTAATACATTAACTTTTGATGTAATGGTTGTAATTGGTAAAAAGACTGATTTTGAATCTGAACTGAAGGTAAATCTTTGATTTAAATAGGAGAATGGATATAAAGATTTGTCCATTTCAACTTGTGAAATCATTTGATAGTTTTCGTTCTATATTGAAAAAATTTAAAAATAAAAAAATAATTAATAATACATGAATATAATTTTAATATTATAATAATAATTATTATTTATATGAACACTTACATAATTATTTGTATATAAATAATAATAACCTGTAGAATCACTACGTGTTAAAATAAAAGTCTAAAAAAAAAAGAGTTAATATTATAATGTAATTTTATAAAAAAATACTATTGAAATTTTGTTTAACTTACATCGTTATAACGGTCATAATATAAAACATCTTCAAAAGAGCCACTTAAATTGTGTATGGAATGATTAGTTTTTACACCACTTAATGTATTTAATAAAATTGATTGTTCAACAAAGTTTGGGAATCGTGAAAGCGAGTAAATGTTGATACTGCCATCGCCATCTATTGGTGTTGAGTTAATACAACTAAAAGATAATAATACCAAAACAAATAAACTTAAAAACTTCATTTTTAATTTCTAATAAAAATAAATTAAAATTTTTATATAAAAAAACTATAATATTTTTTTTTTTATTATTTTTAAAACCCACTTATTTTTTTAGGTTTAACAAAACATTGATTTTTACCCAAATATCTACTCAAAAAAACAGGTTAGACGAGAGAAAAAAAAAAAAAATTTATTATAATATGATATATATACAGATATTTTTTAATCAAAAAAAATATTGGTAATTTTTTTTAATTACCACGCACACTTTTTTTTTTTTTGATTTTGGGTGAATCAAAAAAATTACCTTTCCAAAAAAATTACGTTTCCAAAAAAATTACATTTCCAAAAAAATTACCTTTCCAAAAAAATTTCAAAAAAATAAAATAAAAAAAAAAACAAAATATGATATTTTTTTTAATTAAAATTTAAAAGTTAAAGAAATTTTGGGAAATTTGGGACGACAAAAACCAATCGTTATTAATATTGAATTTTACATTCTTTGGTGTGAAGCTGTTGTTAATATCTAAAAATATTAAATTAAAAGTTGTGGTTCCTGTGGTTGTTCCTTCAGCGATTTGAATGAACATTAATTCAGATTTATCGTTGTTTACAACATATGGTTGGTAGTTGTAGCCAAAGTAGTAGCCCAATGAGATGGTGTAGATGTCAGTGCAGTTATTAGAGTTACCAAAATCGACTTTGCAAATTGTGACAGTGGTATTTGAGTTGTTAGTTGGTTTGATAACAAATAAGTCACCTTTTTGATTGGTAAACATTAATTTAATATTACCTTGGGGAATGTTTGATATTGGATAAATGTTTTTGGTGTTTTGGGTTTGGAGGTCAATAGAGGCAATTTTAGTTTGGTTTTGATTGGTTATGTAACTGATGTATAAAATCTCGTTTTCTGAATCGATTGCTTGTTTAGATTGTGGGCTTTGGGCAGAATCAGTAGCAGGTAATCGGATAGTACCCATTTCACCTGTTCCAAAGTTAAGTGATAAAACATCAACATCGTATGAACCTAATGAAATTGGTAAATAGGCAGTTTTTAAACTATCACAAAAAATGTATCTTTGATCTTCATAGAAAAATGGAAAGATTGATTGATTAATTGCAACTTGTGAAATGATTTTAAAGTTTTCATCCTATAATAAAGAAAAAAAGTAATTAATATTTATGAATACATATTATATTAATTTAATATGATACTTACACCATTGTTTGAATATAAATAATACAAACCAATAGAAGGACTAAAAGTTAAAAGAAGAGTCTAAAAAAAAAAATGATAAAAAAAAAAATAAAAATTAAAACCAAATTTTTTTATTGAAAAAAAATAGTTAATATTTTGTTTGGGTGTGTTTTTTTTTAGTAATAATTTATTTATAAAAAACATACGGTATTTGTTGAATCGAAAGATAAAACATCTTCTAAAAGTCCAAATAGGGAATCAATATTTGAATTATCGACAACACCTTGGTTAGAATTTAATAAAGTATATTTATTAATATTATAGTATTTTAGGGTTGAGAATGCTAAAATATCGACATTAATATTATATGACGATGAGTTGGCATTTACACCAAAAACAAATAATATTATAAGAAGTAAATTTAAATATTTCATTCTTTGATATTACTCTTACACAATGAATTCAAATTTTTTTTTTTTTATTTTATATAAAGGGAAAAAAAAGTTTATAAATTAAAACCTAATAAAATAGGTTAAAATTGTTTGAGGTGGATTTTTTTGTCGAATAATTTTAGCTTTTTTTATTTTTTTTTTGGGCAAACATAATTTTTTCGGGCTCTTGGAAAAATTTTTAAAAAAAGCAAATCCCCTTGAAAATTTTATTTAAAAATTAAAGTTTATTTGAAACTTAGATCCTTTTTTTTTTTTTTTTAATTTTTTTAAAAAAAAAAATTTAAAATGATTTTTTCATTTATGTTAAAGGTTTTTATAATGATATGGGTGTTTATAACGAGTGTGTGTCATAAAATCCGTTTACATAAAGACTGTAGTATGGTCTTTCATAATCCTCATTTTGATTTTAAAATCAAGGATAATAATATTAATAATAATCTAAAAAGTAAAAAATAAAATAAAAACATTCTTTTTTTTGAGCAATATAATATAAATTAAAAAAGGCAAAGGAGCCTTTAGTTTTATTTTTTTTAATTTTTTTAATTTTTTTAAATTCAAAATTTTTTTTTTTTTGCCAAGCCAACAAAATTGGGAAACTTTAAGGTTTAAAATTTTATAGTTAATTGATTTATTATTTATTATTTATATTCTTTGATTTATAATTAAGCTTGAACAACTTTGAGTTTTGGATTATGGAACGCAACATTACAAAATTCATGGAGGAGCACTTTATGACATTCATTTTGAGATAATATATAAATTTCCTTAATTGTTTATACCTTGAATTGAATACCCATTACTACATATAAACAAGGACCTCTTTCTTTTTTATTTTCATCAATTGTAACATTAGCTATCAAAGTTAACTGTATTATTCATATTTGTGTGACAATAAAATTTTAAAATAAATTTAAAAAAAAAAAAAATTTGAAGTTAGATCAGTTGTTATAACAAGTGAACAGTTTTTAATTGTTAATGCAGATGGATTCAAGCTTTTACACTCGACATTTATTATCTTTTTTTTTGGACTGAGGTCAACCTAAACACTTTAATTAATTATTTATATTTTATCACATATTAATATAATATAATAAAAAACATATAAATAATTATTAAAATAGTTTCGAAAAATTATAAATTTTTATAAAATAAAAATTAAAAATTAACTTTTTTCTGCAATAACCTATGGGTATTTAGGTTTTCCAATTAATTGAAAACAAATAAAAATAAAATATTTAAATAAACTTTTTTTTTAATCTGATTACATGCAATTTTGTTTTTTTTTTTTTTGCAAAAAAAAATAAATAAAAAAAAAAATAGAAAATAAAAAAAATTTTATTAAAATTTCGACTAAAACTAATCAATTCTCCCATTCTCCCATTCTCATATTCTAATATTTTCCCATTTAAAAAATAAATTTGTCACCTTTTAGCCACACTCCGCATAATCCTTGTTGTTTTTGTTGTTGCAATAAAATCAAAAAAGGAATTCCTCAAATGTTATTGAGAGTGAGGTCGCAATGCATAAAAAAGAAATAAAAATAAAAAAAATAAAATTTTGAAAAGTTTTTTTTTTTTTTTTTAATTTTATTTTGACAATCTTTGACATTCCCCTGGGTACTGATAATTATTAGGGAGAGTGTCCGAATGCAATTCTTTTTTTTTTAAATAGATTACATTTATAGAAAAACGAGGATAAATAAATATAACTAAATATTTTCTTTTTTTAAATTTTTTTTTTTTTTATTATGAGAAAAAATAAAAAAAAAAAAAAATATAAATGGTGAAATAATATCAATTTTTTTTTAAAATTAATAATCATTAAGAACTAAAATTATATATATATATATAATACTGTGGGCACAATTTTAAATAATTGTTTTTGCCTTAAAATATTTATAATAAAAAAGAAAATAAAACTAAAAAAATAAATAATTTGTCTAAAATAATTTTTTTAAAAAAGAGTAGTTTAATTTTAAAAAATCATGTCAAGGGATTACCAATTAGAAAATTTATCTAAGTTGGATAGCGGTTTAGATTATGGTGGTGAAATTAATAATAATAATAATAATAACAATAGAAACAATGAAACGGAAGGAGATATTACCGTTTCAAGCGGTTTGAATAATTTTAATAGAGTTGCTGATGAGCTGGAGCAAGAGTATAGAGAATATATTCATCAAGAGTTGGCAATTAATGATATCGAGTCAGCAAAATATGAAGAAACTGATGAAGATTTCAAACTAAGAGAATTTTTTGAAAACTCTCAGCGTATGGCAATTGAAAATGGGGGTAAACCTAAAAAGATGGGTGTCACTTTTAAAAACCTCACAGTGGATGGCAAAGGGGCAGATTTATCAGTTATCACTGATTTATCAACACCATTTATTGATTTCTTTTCACTTTTCAATCCTAAAAATTGGTATGTACCATATTGGTTTATAAATTTCAATTAAAATTAATCAATTTTTTTAATTTTAATTTTTTTATTTTTTCATTTTTTCATTTTTTTTATTAATTGCATGGTATTTGGGTGTATTATTATCAAATAATAAAGGAATAAATCAAATTCATCAACATTCGATATTTTGCATGATGTAACTGGGTTCTGTAAAGATGGAGAAATGTTATTGGTATTGGGTAGACCAGGCTCTGGTTGCAGTACTTTGCTTCGTGTACTTTGTAATATGAGAAGCTCTTATGTTAAAGTAGATGGACAGGTCAACTATGGTGGTATTCCAGCATCTGAATGGGGTCGATATAAAGGTGAAGCCATTTATATTCCAGAGGAAGATTCTCATTACCCAACTCTTACTGTCCGGGAAACTCTTAATTTCGCACTCAAGTGTAAGACTCCATCAAACCGTTTGCCCGAAGAAAAGAAACGTACTTTTAGAGGTAAAATCTTTAATTTACTTTTATCAATGTTTGGTATTATTCATCAAGCCGATACTGTAAGTATACCAAAATTTTATTTATTTAAATTATCTCATAAAATAAATATTAATTTTTATTTTTATTAAAATATAGATTGTAGGTAATGAATTTGTACGTGGTTTAAGTGGAGGTGAAAGAAAGAGAATTACAATTGCAGAATCTATGGTTGCAGCATCATCAATTAATTGTTATGATTGCTCAACTAGAGGTCTAGATGCTGCATCTGCTTTTGACTATGCTAAATCTATTCGTATTATGTCAGATTCATTGCATAAAACCACCTTAGCATCATTTTATCAGGCATCAGATTCTATTTATAATTTATTTGACAAGGTTTTGATTTTAGAAAAAGGTAATTATAATTAAAACTAATATTGTTTATATTTATAAAAAAAAAAAATATTAATAATTTTTATTTAGGTCGTTGTATTTATTTTGGCCCAACAAATAAAGCTAAACAATATTTTTTAGATTTAGGATTTTATTGCGAACCAAGAAAATCAACACCAGATTTCTTAACAGGTGTAACTAATCCACAAGAAAGAAAAGTCCGTCCAGGTTATGAGAGCCAAGTACCAGAAACCTCAGCTGACTTTGAAAGCGCATGGAAAGGCTCAGAGTTACACCAGCAACAAATGAAAGAGCTTGAAGAGTATGAAAAGAAAATAGAGCAAGACCAACCAAAGAAAGATTTTATTCAAGAAGTCCGTTCTCAAAAGAGTAAAACTACAACTAAAAGATCTGCCTATACCACTGGTTTCTTTGCTCAGGTAATTGCTCTAACAATTCGTAATTATCAAATTATTTGGGGTGATAAGTTTTCATTAGCTTCTCGTTACTTTTCAACCATTTTCCAAGCTATTTTGTATGGTACCTTTTTCTATAAAATGCCATTGGACACTTTAGATGGTGTTTATAATAGGGGAGGTGCTCTCTTTTGTACTATCATTTTCAATGCATTAATTGCAGAACAAGAATTACCAATCACTTTTCAAGGCCGTCGTATTATACAAAAGCAACGTTCTTATGCAATGTATAGACCCTCTGCACTCCATATTGCTCAAGTTGCCGCAGATTTCCCAGTTATATTTATTCAAGTGTTCCTATTTTCCTTTATCGTTTACTTTATGTTTGGTTTAGATTATGATGCTTCAAAGTTTATCATTTTTGCATTTATTCTATTGGGTTTTGCCTTGGCCACAAATAATCTCTATCGTTTATGGGGAAATTTCACACCATCGGTATATATAGCTCAAAGTATTATGAACGTTATTATTGTGGCACAGTTTTCAATTTGCGGTTATTTAATTCCATTTAACAAACTTCACAGTTGGGTAAAATGGTACTATTGGATCAATCCATACACATATACCTTCGAATCTTTAATGCAGAACGAATTTTATGGATTAAAGGTTGATTGCTCTTCAGAAATGATACCATATAGTAACGATCCAAATTCAACAGTCTACAATGATGTAAATTATAGAGTATGCCCAACTTCTGCTGCCACACCCGGCCAAACTACTTTTACAGGTGAATCCTATCTCAAAAATGTTATCAACATTCAAAACAGTCTCGCTCTAAATGTTTGTGTAGTCTATGTTTTCGTATTCCTTTATATTATTGTAAACTGTTTTATAATGGAACATTTTGATATGGCAAATGGTGGTTTTACATCCAAGGTATTTATTTAAATATTTTAAAACTTTATTAAAATTTATTAAAGTTTATTCATTTTCTAACATTATTTATACTATATAGGTTTATAAACGTGGAAAGGCTCCAAAAATTAATGATGTAGAAGAAGAAAAAAGACAAAATGAACTAGTTGCAAATGCCACCAGTAATATGAAAGAAACTCTTAAAATGCCAGGTGGTATTTTTACATGGCAAAGCATTAACTATGATGTTCCAATTTCAGGAGGTACCAGAAAGCTCTTGCTAGATAATGTTGAAGGTTGGATCAAACCAGGTCAAATGACTGCATTGATGGGATCATCAGGTGCTGGAAAAACTACTCTACTTGATGTTTTAGCTAAAAGAAAAACTATTGGTCAAGTAAGAGGTAAATGTTTCTTAAATGGCAAGGCTTTACAAATCGACTTTGAACGTATTACCGGCTATGTTGAACAAATGGATGTCCATAACCCATGCTTGACTGTACGTGAAGCTCTTAGATTCTCTGCCAAATTACGTCAAGAACCCAATATACCAATAGAAGAAAAATATGCCTACGTCGAACAGGTTTTAGAAATGATGGAAATGAAACATTTAGGTGATGCTTTAATAGGAGATTTAGATACCGGTATTGGTCTTTCAGTTGAAGAAAGAAAACGTTTAACTATTGGTGTTGAATTAGTAGCCAAACCCCACATTGTAAATATTTATAAATAATTATATTTTTAAAAAAAATACCAATATTAATTTTTTTTTTTTTTTTTTAATCATAAGCTCTTCCTTGATGAACCAACATCTGGTTTAGATGCTCAATCATCATACAATATTATTAAATTTATTCGTAAACTTGCAGATGCTGGAATGCCATTGGTTTGTACTATCCATCAACCATCGAGTGTATTATTTGAACACTTTGACCGTATTTTACTCTTAGCTAAAGGTGGTAAAACTGTTTACTTTGGTGATATTGGCGATAAATCGAGTGTTCTTCTGTCATATTTCGAACGTAATGGTTGCCGTAAATGTAGTGATATTGAAAACCCAGCCGAATATATGTTGGAGTGTATTGGTGCAGGTGTGCATGGTAGAACCGATAAAAACTGGCCAGAAATTTGGAAAGACTCTGCAGAATATAGAGAAGTTGAAAATGAATTGCTATCGCTAGAAGCCTCTGGCCCAATAAAAACCGGTGTAGATAATGGAGAGCCACGTGAGTTTGCTACACCTTTATGGTATCAAACTTTAGAAGTATACAAACGTCTCAATTTAATCTGGTGGCGTGATGCACCATACACATATGGTACTTTAGTCCAATGTATTCTAGTTGGTTTGCTCTCGGGTTTCATCTTTATGAATCTTAAAGAATCATCTTCAGATATGATTCAACGTATCTTCTTTTCATTCGAAGCTATTTTCACTGGTATTCTATTTATGTACTTGGTGTTACCACAATTTATTACCCAAAAAGAATTCTTTAAGCGTGACTATGCTAGCAAGTTTTACTCATGGCTCCCATTTGCAATTGGTATTACAGTTGTAGAGTTACCATTTGTTCTTTTCTCTGGTACAATTTTCTTTTTCTGCTCCTACTACACTGCTGGATTGGACTACTCTCATAGCAACAACTTTTATTTCTGGTTCATATTTATCATCTTTTTATTCTTTTGTGTTTCATTTGGACAAGCTGTAGGAGCTGTTTGTTTCAACTTAACTTTTGCACTCAATGTTATGCCAATTGTCATTGTTTTCTTCTTCCTCTTTTGTGGTATTTTAATCAGACCATCCGAAATCCCATGGTTTTACCGTTCTTGGATGGTGTATCTCAACCCATGCAACTATTTACTTGAAGGCTTTGTTACCAATGCATTAAATCATATCGATATTAGATGTTCATTGGACGACATTGTTAAATTTATTAAACCATCAAATTTCAACACATGCGAAGAATATGCCTATGATTTCATCAATTCAACTATCACTGCAGCTCCAGGCTATGTCAAAACTTTAGAATCAGGTGAATGTGGCTATTGCTCCTATAAATCTGGTAAAGAATATGTTGAAGGTTATTTAGGCTGGTCAAATGATAACAAATGGCGTAACTTTGGTATTGTCACCTCATTCTTTATTTTTAATACTCTTTTAGTAATTATATTTGTATACATTGCAAGAAAAGGAAAAAGATAAAAAAATAAACATGTTGTTATGAACAACTTATTACAATCTTTTTTTTAAATAAAATTTTTTTCAATAAAAAGAAATGTTATAAAAATAATGTATTTTCTTTTTTTAGTATTGATCAAATATTTGATTGAATTAATGTTTTTGATTTTTTTATTATTGTTTATTAAAAAAAATATTTTTTTTTATTTTTTTATTTTTTTATTTTTTTCATTTTTTTATTTTTTTATTTTTTTTTATTAATTTTTTTTTTCATAAATTAAAAAAACTATAAAGATTTATTCAAATAAATAATATATAGTAATTAGAAATGTTTAATACCAACACATCAAACACATCAAGCAATGTTTATGGTTTATCACAAAAAACTAGAGCATTAGCACATGTTGCTGGTGAAACAGATATAAATAGATTTTTAGTTGGAACATTATCATTAAGAGAAGATAATGAAATTGCACTATTGGAATCCAAAGAGAATGAAGGTGGTGTTAAATGTATATCAATATTTTCTCATCCAAAAGAAATTTGGTCAATTACATCATGTCCATTCGATGCAAATCTTTTCTTTACAGTTTACAACACTGGCACAAGTAATGACTTCAAATCATCATTGTGGAGAATTAATGAAAATATGGATAGCATTCAAGAAGTATTCGAACTCAAAGGACATACAAGCATGATAAAACCAATATTATGTGACCCATCAGGTTCAAATGATTATATAGTGTCTTTAGATGACAGCAATATTCGTTTATGGGGAAAAATTGAAGATAGTGAACCACAGTGTGTTAAAACATTTGGTAATCTTTCAAAACTCTCTGTTGGTTCTATTAATCCAAATATTCCAAATCAATTAGCCACAGCAAATGATGTTAATATTAAAGGTTGGGATTTTAGAAATGCAAAGTAAGTTCTTACTCATCTTGTATAAATATAGTTTATGCACTTTAATACTAATTTATTGATTTTTTTATTTACAGGGAAACATTTTCAATCGATAAAGCACATTCGGAACAAATTAGAGATATCGATTTTAATCCAAATAAACCTTACAATCTTTTATCAGCAGGTGATGATTCAAAACTTAAAATATGGGATACCAGACAAACTAAAGAACCAGTCAAAATATTTTCAAGTCATAATCATTGGATTTGGTCAGCTAAATTCAATAAATTCCAAGATCAATTAATTATAACATCATCAAGCGACAATACTGTAAAATTATGGAACCTTTATTCACTTTCTTCCGCAAATAACACCAAAGATTCAACAACAACAAACTCAAATGACCAAACATCAGATACATCATCAAACTCATCAACTCAATCACAACAACCAACCAAACCAAAGAAAAAGTATGTATATTATCTATTTCTGTTAAAATAAAATTTTCAAATAACTAACATATATTTATTTATAGTAAAAGAAATGAAGATCAATTAATTAAAACTTATGAAGAACATGAAGATAGTATTTATAATATAAGTTGGGGTTCAAGTAATTTCCTTTTTGCATCATTATCCTACGACGGTAGATTTGTTATAAATAATGTTCCAAAAGAATATTCCGATATTTTATCATATATTTAAAAAAAAAAAAAAAAAAGTAATAATAAAAATAATAAAACAATATTAAAAATTATGTATTTAATAAAAACAATATTTTTATTTTTATCGGATTTATTTAAATAGTTTTGTTTTATTTATATATTTAAAAAAGATATAAAGGGTATAATAAATAATAAATATATTTTATTATTTTTAAATATTTGATTTTAGTTTATAAAAAAAGTGTTTTATACAAATTTCTTTGGTCTATTATTATTATTATTTTTCTTATTATTATTATTTCTATTATTATTATTATTATTATTTCTATTATTATTATTATTATTATTACTGTTATTGTTATTAAATTTCTTTTTACCAGCTGCAGATTTATTTTTTATATTATAATTATCTCCAAATTTTAATTGATTTTCTTTATGTTGTTTTAATTTTTGAGTTTGAATGCTAAATTGGTTTACAGAGTCTGGATTAAGTGATTTCTTTACTTTAACTTTTTTAACTCTACCTTGATCGAAATGTTTATTGTGTTCATCTTTTTCGTGAACTAACTCTTTTATTTGTTCATCCTTTAAGAGTTCTTTTTGAGCTTCTTTAAATTCTGGATTAACATCATCATCGTCCCATTTACCGACATTGAAGTGGAATTGGTTTTCTTCTTTAACTTTTGAATTTTCTTTTAATTGTTTAGCATTGTTAATTGATTTTAATTTCTTTTTATCATTTAATTTTTTTAATTGTTCGTCTTCCTCGGCGTATCTTGGTTTATCCCATTCTAATTCTTTTTGTTGTTGTTGTTTGGTGGCTGGTTGTGATTTTAATATTTTTTCTAAAATTGAGGATGGTTTTAATGATGGTGAATTATTATTACTATTGTCACTGTTGCTAGATTCTGATTCTGAGGATGGTGGTGATAAAGATGATAATGAAGAGTCGTCATAGTTGTCACTTTCATCGTCGCTGTCGTCTGGTCTTTGTGATAATGGTTCATCGTCACCACCAAGAGAGAATGACTTTAATGGTGGTGAAGCTGATTTAGCACCGTTTAATAATGGTGATTTTTTGATTTCTGGTGCAGCTGCTGATGATGCAATTGATGATGATTTAGCACCATTTAATACTGGTGATGTTTTCTTTGGTTCTGATGTTGTGGTAGCTGTTTTGGTACCATTTAATACTGGTGATTTTTTAATTGGGGCTGGTGCTGGTTCAACTTTTACTGATGATGTAGCTGTGTTGGTTGGTTTAGAACCATTTAATACTGGTGATTTCTTTTCTTCGACAATTGGTTTCTTTTCATTTTCACTAATTTTAATTTGTTTTTTAATATCTTGTTTTGGTTGCTCGCTAACCTCTTCATCTAATTTTCTCTTTTGGCCAACTATATTTCTTGGGATAACTGTGTTTGTGTTAATGGATCTTTCAGTATCTCTCTTTGAATAGAATAACATATAGGCCTTTGAACCTAAAACAGTTTGTAAACTAACTTGTGAAACCATTGAATCATCCATATTATACCAAATTCCATTTGTACCTTTAACATAACAATAATAATGACCTGAATTTGTGCTGCCACCTAAATGAACCAATACAGCATATAAATCGTAGATTGAATGATCCTAAAATTTTGTAAAAAAAATTTATGAATATTATTATTAATAATTATTGATATTAAATTATTATTTAATTATTTAATTACATTTGCCTGTGTCATATATGGTGAAAGGTTTAAGGTTTGTTCAAATTGAATATGTTTATTAACTTTACCACCATATGAACCTAAAAATGAGAAACGTTTAATTTGGACAGTTAAAATTGGTGGAGAGATATGAATTTGTAAACGTTTTGCTGCCTTAACCAGCTTTTTACATTTTGAACATTTATAACGATTTGAACCGTCGAGAATTTCGGATTTAACAAAGTTTTGAAGTCCTTTAGTTAAAGAATCTGCCTGATTGATATCTACACATAAATCCATAAATGGGTCGAATGTATTTGATTCATATTGGCAAACTGAGCACTTAACTTGACTTCTAAGATAACCACCAAAAATTGAACCAATTACTGTAGTCATTGAATCACGATGACTTATTGAGCCTTTTGGGAACTTGGAAAGACAAACTTTTTGAAGAGATTCGATTACGAAACGAATAAACTCGTGGGAATCTTCTTGACGACCAATTCTAAATGTTGGTGCAACCTTTCTTATATTTGCTGCAATTTCTTTTGGAGTTATGGATCTACCGGTTGCCTTGTGACTTGCAATAATATGCTCTTCTAATGAACAGAAAATGCAGAAACTTTTATTAGTGCAGTTTTTGCTATGTTCACGTGAGATCATATAGTTTGCTAATGTTGGTGAATAGGTGAGGCATTGGAGAACTGAATTCATAAAACATGTATTACCGATATTATTTAAACCTGCTCCAATCTTTGTAATTGATCTCCATTTCATTAATGGGTGTAATTCCTCTGGTTTGAATATAACTTTTTTTGGTTTTGCTAAGACATTGTCGTCATCCTCTTCATCCAATTCTTGTTTCTTTTGTTGTTGTTGCTTTTGTTTAAGTTCTAATAATTTTTTGGAGGCTGTTGTAACTGCATTTATATTATTTATTGGTTTATATTTTAATTTTAATTGATTATCCTCTTGAATCTCTGCTTCTTTAAACTTAATATTTCTATTAAATAATGGTTTTGCTTCATTTGAAATAACCGATTCAAATAATTTCTTTTTTTTTATTAATTCATTTTCTTCACTATCTTGTTGTTTTTGTTGTTGTTGATGTTGGTTATTTATTTCTTTATCATTTATATTATTTTTAATGTTATTTATATTATTAATTAAACTATTATTGCTCTTTTTTGGTTGCTCTGTATTATTTCTTTGTTGTTGTTGTTGTTGTTGCTGTTGTTGTTGTTGTTTTTTTTTTAATGATTTAGCTTTATTATTTTTAATTTTATCTATATGATTTTTTAAACTTATTGATGCTTTGACACCATTATTGCTGTTAGGATTTCCTTTGGTTGCTGTGCCATTAGAAATTTGTGGTGTGATAACTGAAGTAGGCATTCTTTTATTGTTGGTAAACAAAGATTGTAAAAATTTAATTAAATTTAAAATTTTGAATTTTTATATGGATAAAAAACAAATTATTTAAATATTGTATTTATTATTGTGTGTGGCGAGCTATATAAAAAATTTTTTATATACACCTATTATTTTTCGCCTGTTTCGGTTTTTATGGTATTATTTATTTAAAAAATTTAAATATAATTAAAATTTTTTTTAAAAAAAAAAAAAGTTTGTTATATTGCACTCTTGATTGTTATTGGTTTTTAATAAATAATGAATGTATCTATGTATACACACACATTAAACACACAATATGGGAAAATATAAAAAACAACCACACAATCACAAAAAAAAAAAAAAAAAATTTTAAAAAAAAACGAAAAAAAGATTTTTTTATTTTTTTTATTTTTTTTTTATTTTTTTTTTTTTGAATAAGTTGGAGAAAAAAGTTAATTTTGGTTTAAACTATTTATTTATAGTGGTTTAATAGTTAGATAATTACATCTAATAAAATATAATAAATATTCAAATTAAAAAAAATAATAAAAAAAAATAAAAAATTTTTTTTAACCCATTTAAAAAAAGTAAAAATTAAAAAAAAAAAAAAAAAAAAAAAAAAAAAAAAAAAATCAAAAAGAAAGAACATAAAAAAAAAAAAAAGGAAATATGTAAATATTTTAAATTTAATTAATAAAATAAAATAAAATTAAATAGAAAAATATTAAAAAACGAAAAAATAAATTAAATTTTAAAATTTTTTATTTTTTTTAAATTATTTTTTTTGTTTTCTTTTTTCTTTTTTTTTTTTAATAATTTAATATCTCATTATTATTACAGTTCTATATAATCAGTTGTTGTAATATTATTATTTTTCATTATTTTTTTTATTTATTTTTCAACACATCAACTTTGATATGATACGTAGATTTGTAAAAAGGATTGATGATTATGGCAAGATTTTTACTAAATTTTGTGGGCCTGCATTTGTGGGGTTTGCATCCACATTAATTACTGTCATCGCCTATACATATTTTGCAGTTATTTTCCCAGCAACTACTAGTACAGAGGATCTCTTTTATTCAATTAATATGTTAATGGATTTATCAGTGTCATTATTCCTCACCTTTAATATTTATTTCAATTACTATAAAGCTATATCGGTACCAGCTGGTTATCCAACATTCCCCTCTGTCAATGTAGGTATTAAATGTTTAATAGTATAAATAATAAACACTAATAGTAAATTTTTTCATAAATAGGGTGATGAAGCAGATGAAAGTTTAATAACATCAAATATAAGATGGAATTTTTGTAAAAAATGCTCAAAACCTAAACCACCAAGAACCCATCATTGCTCAGTATGTAATCGTTGTATTTTAAAGATGGACCATCATTGCCCATGGATCAGTGGCTGTGTTGGTTATTACAATTATAGATACTTTTATTTATTTTTAGCATATCTTTGGGTCTCAGTTATATATGTTATGATCCATGCAGCACCTCTATTCTTTGGTTATAGTCTGGTATGTACACACATTATAGTTCTTTGTAAATGGTTCAAAATTTATTAAAAAGGGCACGATACTAATATATGAATTTTCTTTTAATAATTTTCAGTATACAACTAGATATTCCCAATTGGATAGAATTTTAGTAATTGTGTCATCTATTGGATCGTTTGTTACATTTATAGCAATAGGATGTTTTGGTGGATTTCACACAATTATGATTGCAAAGAATGAAACATCAATTGAAAATTTAGATAGATCAAAGAACAAACCAAGTTATCATTTAGGTTCAATAGTAGCAAATTTTAATGCAGTTTTGGGAGAGGGCGATTATTGGTTTTCAGGTTTATTACCAACAAATCAATTACCAAAAGGAAATGGTTGTTATTTTAAAACAAATTATATAGATGAGCAAGATGACGAAAATAACAGTAATAATAACGATAATAATAGAAGCCATACTGACGAAGCCAGTATTAACAATAATATTAGTAATAGCAACGACGATTCATTAAAACATTAAAAATATAATAAAAATATAATAAAAATTGTATATATTCATAAAATCATACAAATTAATATACTTCTTTTTTTTTTTAGTTTAATACTCCATACTTTTTTTTTTGGAGGTCATATTATAGTTTATATACAAAAATTTATATTTTTTTTTTTTTTTTCTTTAATTAAAATCTGTATTGTTGATTATGTTCATTTTGTTGTTGTGGTGGTTGTTGTTGTTGGTTTTGGTTTTGGTTTTGGTTTTGGCTTGGTGGCATGTATTGATTATTTTGGTGATGTTGGTGTGAATATGTATTATGTTGTTGAAGATTTGTTGAGGTTGGTTTCATAGTTTCTTTAAATTCGTTTAAATTATTTTGAATGATCTTTCTTCTTGCATAATTTACACCTTTATCTACAACCCATTCACCAACATTGAAAAATCCTTTAGTAAATGTAAGAGCTTTTTCATTCTTTACCATATCAACTACTTTTTGGCCCACGCTATATAACAATAATAATAATAATAATGAGAAGAAGATATTAATAATTTGTTTGATTGTTGCAGTTATGATAATATTGCTGTATAGTGATTTTTACTTAAAACCAGTCATTCTTCTTGCACCAGCACAGGCACTGGAGATGACAATACAATCGAATACTAATGAAATGAGACTATTTAAAGTAAAATTAGAATGAATTAATATAAAGTAAACTTTTTTTTTATATTTATTAATAATACAAAAATAATTACCCCATTTTATATATTTTATTTTTATTATTTTAGATATTATTACTTAATAAATATTATTAATTACTTTATGGTTATTGCAAAGTATAATAAATATCGAATTGAAAACAAAAAAATAAAAAATTAATAAAAAAAAAATTAAAAAAAAAAAAATAATTTAAAAAAATAAAAATTCATAAAAATAAACACATAATTTTTTACACATTCATATATTTTAGATTTTAATTCAATGAATGATAGCAAAATTATTTGGTGTATTTATTTTTTTATTTATTTTTTGAATATGGAGATAATACAAATAAATATTATGTGTAAAACATTGTGGGTGAGTGAAAATAAATTTTTTGATGAATAAATAATTTTTTGGATTGGGTGTAAATTATGAATTTATGTTTGTTTTTATAAAGCCAAATTAATATACAAAATCTTAAAATAGTTTTTTATTTAATTTTAATTTTAAATTTATTTAAAAATAATATTTTATTAATTTTTTTTAAAAAGGAATGTAAAAATATTCAAATATAGAATAAAATATGTAATGATAACTTCTTATTTTAATTTTAACTATGAAGAATATAAATAATACTATAAAAATTATAATGTAAAATGAATTTTATCTTTTTGAGAATTTATAATAGATTAATAGTGAAGCATTATTTGAAGCACCATTTGAAGTACTATTGTTTGAAGCACCATATGAGGTACCATTTGAACTACTTCTCAAACCACCATTTGAGGCGCTACTTGAACCGCCATTTGAAGAACTACTAGAATCACCATCTGAAACATCATTTGAACTATTTTAACTACCATTTGAGGTGCCACTTGAAGCACCATTTGAATCGCTATTTGAAGGAACATTTGAATAACCATTAGAAGCATAACCATAAGCACCACTTAAAGAACTATTTGAAGCATTACTGGAGCCACCATTTGCAACAAATTTTGAAGCACCACTTGGAGCACCATATGAGGCGCTACTTGTACCACCCAAGCACCACTTGAAGAACTACTCTAACTACTTGAATTACTACCACTTGAGGAACCACTTGAACCACCATTTGAGGCACTATTTGAAATACCATTTGAGGCGCTACTACCATTTGAACCACCATATGAAGAACTATATGAACCACCATTTGAAACGCTTTTTCAACTACCATTTGAATACCAACTTGGATTTTCTAATATTATTTCAACACGTTTGGAGAATTGCAGATGCCGCTTTTAATTTAATGAACCTAATTATTTATAAATAAATTATTAATATATGTTTAAAATTAATTTTTAAAAAGGATAATATTTTACATACCATTTCTGTCTATAAATTATTGATTAGCTGCGCTAATACCGAAATTTAATAGACCAATGTCATTATATACTAATTATTTACCCATAACTATTGATTATGGTTTTGAACGCAATGAGCCATAATGTTTTGCATGGTGAGATAATAAAATTTCTCTACTATTATGAATTGAACTTGGTATGATTTCAATTAAAGAGCCGCTTTCAGATTGAACTGATGAAATTATTGTAATTTGAGATTTCAATAATTCAGAAGCAGCAAGTAAAGTCAAATGATCACCCCAAGTACCATTTCTTGACATACGGTCACAATATCTATCCCAATTATTAGTATTTGCGAATTGGCATAATTTTGCACCGTTTTTAAGGGTGAAGTTTTTATTATTTCTGAGCCATGCAACAATAGCTCTTCTAATTTCGGGACCATGATTTAAGTCACCGAAAATTTGGTCAGATAAAGCATACATCTGACAGTTTCCATCGCCTGGAATATCCCTACTGTTCTCCAAATTGTAGAGCTCCAAACGATCATATAAACGTGATAATGCGGCATAGTCGGCTACACTTGAGTTGATATCCATTGGTTCACTATTTTGACCTTGGCTATCAATAATTTGTGAATTTATATTTGGAGTTGATTGTTGTTGTGGTTGATTTTGTTGTTGTGTTGATGGTTTTGCTTGATGTTGATGTTGTTGTTGATGTTGTTGGTGTTGTTGTTGATGTTGATGTTGATGTTGTGATGGTGATTCTGATTGTTCTTGTTGTAATTTTTCATATTCATCCATTGCCCGAAATAGTTTTTTGTAATCAGGAATTGATGAAGTGTGTTTTGGTTGGGGTTGTGATGATTGTGGTGGTTGTTGTTGTTGTGATGATTGTGGTGGATTTTGTTGTTGTTGTGATGATTGTGGTGGCGATTGCGATTGTGGTGGTTGTTGTTGTTGTGATGATTGTGGTGGATTTTGTTGTTGTTGTGGTGGTGGTGGGTTATTATTTTTATGATATGCTTCGTAGTATTCATCATCATAAAAAAAGTCATTGCACTCATCTCTCTGGTAGTAATTATCTTCATGTTTGTGGTTTTTGCTTCTGATTTTTTTAATAAAAAAATATAAAATGAAAAAAATAAAAAAATATAAAATAATATCAATCATTTTTCTATTTTTTTAACTAATTAAATAAAAATATAAAAAAAAAAGTTAATAGGGTTTAAAAATATAATAAATGATAAATTTTGAAAACTTACAAAGCATAAATATTTTTTAGGTTTTTTTTTTATGTTATATACAAAATAAAATATATAAATATATATAAAAATAACAAATAATAATGAATTTGAGTTGGATGAATGTAAAAAATAAAGCTATATTGAATGTATAAGATTGTGTTTTTGAAAGAAATAATTTTTAAAAAAAAGAAAAAAAAAAATAATTTGATGAAATTTAATAGTTTATTTTTTTTTAAAAATCAAAAATTAAAATTTTTTTTATAAATTAAAAATAAAAATTTTTTTAATTAAAAATTTCCGCAATTAGAAAAATTTCAATTGAAATTATAAAAATGGGCCTCTCCCCAATCTTTTATTTTTTTTTTAGAAAATTGTTTATATTATAATAATAAAAAATAATAATGGTAATGAAATTTATTATTATAACTTTATAATAATCAACTACACTGTTTAATTTTTTTTTAATAAAACTTTAGCAACTAATTAAAGCAATATGTTTGAAATCTCAATGTATTTCAATAATCGTTTAGATTTCATTTCTTTTTGTGGCATAACTTAAATTTATACTTTTTTCTTTTAAGGTATTTCTTTTTTATTTTTTTAATTTACTTTTTATAGTATTATGTTTTTATTTTTCTACTCCAATATTCCGCACCTATATTTAATAATTGAAATTAAAGTTTTTTAGATATAAAATAATTTATAATCTACACTAAATCACTTTTCACATAAATCTTTATTAATTACCATTTAAAAATGAATTATTTATTAATTTTTTATTTACATTTTATTTATTATCTTTAGTTTTTCATAGGTTTATATTATAAATAAATATTTTTCTAACTGCAACTATAACAATAGTAATAAATATATTTTTAAAGAAATTATTAGATTGACTATTTACTTTGGGATACCCCACTCATCATTAATAATTTGGTAAAAAAAAAAAGTTTTAATGGTTATGATTTACAAATTATATATATATTTATATTTTATTTATTTTTTATATTCTTTTATTTTAAAGGTTTTTATTGATTTGGTTTGAAATTGGATACTTTTACAAAAATTTAGGTTGGTTCGAAAAAATTACTATTGGTTATTATTATTATTATTATTATTATTATTATTATAATTATTTATTGTTCTTTACAATAGTTTGAGGGGTATAATGCCTGTCTATCACCTAGTTGACCGACATTCCAACCAGATTCATCTTCTTCAATTACAGTAATAATATCACCAGCGAAAAAGTCAAGTTCTGTAGCATCACTACCTACATAATCATATAATGCAACTACTTTCTTTTGAGATGAAAAATTACGTTGTGGTGGAGGTGGTTGTGATTTACTGCTTGTTAAACTATTGCTACTGTAGCTGCTTGTTAAAGGTGGTTGTGAAGATGTTGAAGATGCCAATGAATAAGATGATTTGCTTTGAATATAATCTGATGACGCTTTACCACCAAATGGAATAAAAGATGGTGGTGGTGGTGGTTCAGTACCTGTTCTACTCTCTCTAACAAAACATTGAATATCTTCATATTTATCGACAAGTGCTACAACTTTAACTAAATTTCTATTGGTAGTCTCTGTATCTGGTACGGTTGAATTAATTGCACCAACATATTTTTCCAATTGAACTTTAATATAATCTATTCTTTCTTCTTCTGTCATTTGTAATGTCTATATAATAAAATAAATTTACATATTAATACCTTTTAATTATATTATTATTATTATGATAATGATAATGATGATAATTACATGATAGTTAGATGAAACTTTCTCTTCCCAAGTTGGTTGGTAACCTGATAATTTATTAACAGCATCTTTATAATCTTGTTCAAATAGGTGTGCTTCTTTTTGTAATTTTTGTAATTTAACTTGAATCTTTCCAATTTCTTGTGCAGTTTTTGTATTCTTTGCTGTTTCCATTTGAATTGCCATAGTTTCTGCTTGTTTTGAATAGTCGTCATATTTTGTTTTATATTTATTAATATTATTTTCCAAATCCTTTCTTTCTTTATTTAATTTATAACCATCATGTAAAAACTAAATTTGTAAAATATAAATTAATTAATACCTAATTTGATTTTATGTGTGCTTTTTTTTAAATAATATATATTATGGTATATTACACTTTTTTTAACTTTTTTTTGTTCTGATTTGAATTTTTCAAATGGTGATACTATATCTTTATCAATTTTAGTACTTAATTCATTGTGTACTCTTACAAGTGATTCAACTTCACCTCTAACTGCAAACCATGCATCACGTAATGTACTAGATAAAATAAATAAAAAAATTAATATTAATATGTCATTATTGTTTTTGTCTGCCATATAAAGTATAGTTACCCATATTCATTTAAATCTGATGTATTTTTTAATAGTTTTTGTAAACTTTTTGCATAGCTTTCTTCGATGGATGCTCTTTCTTTCATAAAATATAAAAACAATCTAGTACTTTCTGTTCCTTCATTAACTCTTTTTTCCAACACATCAAAACCACTTTGTCCCTATAAGAGTAATATTAACGACCCTAAATGTTAGTACATATCCATATATATATTTTAGATTTTTTAATAATTACCCAAAAATTATCTTTATATTGATCTGACATTTTCCTATTTATTATTTTATTATTGGTATTAGTACAATATTTTAACTACCACACACACAAATTTGTTTTATAATAATATTTTAACACAATAATTTTAATAACTGATTTATTTTTTATTAAACTTGTTTTTAATATTTTATATTTCTATAAAGTGATTCTATTAATTTTATTATTATTGTGATTATTATTTATAAAATAAACAAAACCTTAAAATAATGATAGTTTTTTTTTTATAGAAAACACAATAAAACAATTATTTTTTTTTTAATAAATTTTTTTTTAATTTTATTTTATTTTTTTTTTTTTTTAATTTTAATTTTTTTTTTTTTTTTGGTTTTTTTTTTTTTTTTTAATATAAACAATTTTATTATAACGAATTATAACGATATTGATGTACTCTTTCAATCACCATCTCGCTTATTTTTTTTCTTTTTTTCTTTTTTTCTTTTTTTTCTTTTTTTTCTTTTTTTTTTGCTTTTTTTTTTTTTGCTTTTTTTTTTCCTTTTTTTTCTTTTTTTTTTTTTGTGGGTTTAAAAAAAAAAATTTAAGATGGGTTTTAAAAAAAACAGGTCAGATCCAAATGATATCATTAAAGACAAATTGATTTCAATTATTTTTTAAAATTTATGTATTTATCTATTTTTGTAAATTGTTTGGGATTTAATTTTATTTATATTAAAATATTTTTTATTATTTTATATTTTTTATTTAAATATCAAATTCTCAAAGAGTTGGATATATTAGTAGACTATAAACATGAAATAGGGTAATGAGAAATATTTAAAAAGTTATATAGAATTAGGATTTTATTTGGAAAATGAATGCAAATATTATTGTCGATGATTATTTTGATGGAGGAAAACAATAAGGATAAACAAAACATTGAAAAGTTATCAACAATTATGAGGATTTTAAGATCTTTTGCAACACAAAAAGAAATAAAATAAATTATAGTTTCAGTGTTTTTTTTTTTAAATATCTTTTTTTTTTTTTTTTTTATTTATTTATTTAAAATTTATTTTGTGGAGTTGAAGGAGCTGAAGGTGTATTAGATTTAGATTTTTTAGATTGTTGTAATTGTTGTTTTAATTCTTCTTGTTGTTGTTGTTCTCTTAATTCTTTTTGATGTTCTTTTAATTCTCTTTGTTGTTGTTTTCTAGTGATTGAATGAGTGGTTTGAATAGATTTCTTCATAGCAGCGACTCTAAGTTTATGAGGTTCTGGGAAATGAGTTTTTTTATAGGTTTTGTATTGTTCTACATTACCAAAACCAGGTATTCTAATATTCCAATTCTTTTCTAAATGACATTGAATATCTTTAACCTCCAAAGTACTTGAATTACGATGTTTAGCTAATGTACATGCAAATGCTACTGTTGATTCCACAAAATCATCTGCTAAAACTGAGAGTATATCCTCTACGTCATCGTCCATTTTTTCGTTGGGTGAAATTTGTTGAAGTAATTCTGTTAATTTTCTTTTTCCCAAAACTTCTGGTTCTATATCTTTATTTAAATCTTTTTCACGTTGCTCTTTATCGTGTTGTTCCTTTAATTCCTTTTCACGAACCTCACGCTCACGACGTTCTTTTTCTTTTTCTTTTTTTGGTTTATTTACTGTTGTTCCTATTGATGATGATGACATAGTGGTTGTAGTTGTTGTGTTTATGCCATGTGTATGACCTGCTGCTCCAGAAGAGTATAACATTGGGTTTATACCTGAAATAACATTTGTAGAAGGTGTTGTGGTTGTAGATAAGGTGGATGGTATTGATGATGTAGTACTATTAATTGCAGCTGCACCAATAACTGGAGCAGGTGCACCATTTAAACCTGTAACAGGTGGTGTATTAATGGATGGTGTCGCAATAGTTGAAGGGGTTGATGATAAAGTGATGGGTGATGTATTATTTGTAGGTAAACCTGGTGCAGTAGTTGCTGGTGTAGTAGTATTGACACCTGTTGCTATTGGTGAAGATACTGATGGGTTTATAATTGGTGAGTTTGTATTGGTTGCTGTTGTTGGAGTATTTATATTTTGTACTGGTGAAAAATTACTAGTGTTAACAAAATTAATATTTTTATTTCTAAAAATATTCTCAATAGAAGATTCAATCGAATAACCCGGGGTCGATGTGTTGCCTGTTGCCCCTGCTGTAGTTGGAGTTGAAACGGTTGTGGTGGGTGGAGTAGAGGTAGATGAAATAGATGGGGTTGTTGGTGTATTTGTAGATGCTGTATTTGGAGTTGAAATGGTAGTTGGGGATGATGGGTTTAAATTTGCAGTTCTATTAATTTGGTAATTAATTGATGGAGATGATGTTGAATTTATATTGGCTGTAGTTGTAGGTGGCGTATTTACATTTTGAATTGGAGGTGATTGTGTATTATAAACTTGTGCGGGTGGTTTATTATTTTGATATATTTGTGGTGGTTGTGTTGTAATATTTGTTTGTGCTATTGGTTTATATACAGGTTGTTGACTTAAAATTTGTGGTGGTTGTACATTTTGAGGTGTTGTTGTACTATATGCTTGAATTGGTGGTGTAGTTTGTTGATTATTATTTGGTTGTTGTGGTGCAGACATTACATCACACTAGTATTTATATAAATTATATAAAATTAAAAAAGAAAAATAAAAAAAAATAAAAAAAAATTTTAAATTAATAAAAAAAAATTTAAAAAAAAAATAAAAAAAAAATAAAAAAAAAATTTTTAAAAATGAAAAAAAATTATTTTAATTTATTTTCATATTACCCCACATATAAATTAAATTTTCTAAAATAAATTTGATTACTTTTAATTTTATATAATTGAAAATAATTCAAACAATATCTACAACTATGAAAAATTAATTACTATAACCAATTTTAAATATAACCAATTTTATTTATAACGATTTTAATTAAATATACTCCAATAGTGTGAATAAATAATAAATAAAAAAACTTTTGTAAAAGATAATATTAGTTATATATAAAGAACAACTAAGCAATAACAAAATGATGTATATATAAATAATATACTAATATTTATTGATTTTTTCTTAAGAAAAAAAAATATTTTTTTGATTTTTTTAAATTTTAAAATTTTTTTTTTTTTTAATTTCGTCTTTTTTTTTTTTTATTATAATTTTAAATTAAATAATTGTTATTATTTATTAAAATGTCATTTTTAAAATTAAATAGTAGAAATAATCAATTGTTTAAATCAATTATAAATTCCAATAAATTTTTAAATTCTAGATATTTTGCAAGTAAAGTCAGATTAAATGATGGCAGAATTTTAGATTTTGATCAAGACAATATTACACCACAGGATATAATAAAAAAGATTGGTAAAAGCAATTTCAAACACACATTAACATCTAGAGTCAACTCAAATCAACTTGTAAATTTAAAGGAACCTATCGAATTGAATGACTTTAATATAGAATTCTTAGATTTTGAAGATTTAGAAGTAAGAAAAGCCTTTTGGAATACCAGTTCATTAGTATTAGCTGCAGCAATTAAAGAACACTATAAAAATACAACAGGTGTCTATGTATCAATTATTAACCATGGCCATTTAGTTAAAGATTCTGATAGTTCAGAGTTTTCAGTAGATAGTGTTCTTCAAGGTAGTTTCTTTGTTGATGTATATTTTTCAAAGAGCTCCATGACAATCAAAGAAGAAGATATCAAAAGGATCAAAAAGATTATGGAACATTTTATAAAGCAAAATGAAGCAATTCAAAAATTCGCAATACCACAGGACAAGGCCAAACTTTTATTCTGTACCAATCCAGCCATATTAAAAACCTTTACAGAAGGAGAAAATAAGGATGTACAAGTTATCGATTTAAATGGACATTACTTTTTAGAAAAATTCAAGCCATTGGAACCAATTGCAAAAATTCAATCACTTGACTTGATTAAGAACAGCTCAGTAGTCGGTGATGATCCATCCTACACAAAATTACAACGTATAGTTGGTATATCGTTCCCAGAGAAAGCTCAAATGAAAAATTGGGAAGATTTGTCAAAAAAAGCATCACTTCGTGATCACAGATTGATTGGTAAAAATCAAGAGTTATTCTTTTTCCATCCATTTTCACCAGGAAGTTGTTTCTTTTTACCACATGGAACCAAAATCTATAATAAATTATTAAATTTCTTACGTTCAGAATACCGTAGACGTGGATATCAAGAAGTCATTACACCCAACATCTACAGTCAAAAACTATGGGAGCAATCAGGTCATTGGCAAAATTATAAAGATAATATGTTTTCATTCGAGTGTGACCATACACACTACTCTTTAAAGCCAATGAATTGTCCAGGTCATTGTTTAATGTTTGCTCATCGTCAACGTAGCTACAAAGAACTCCCAATGCGTATTGCTGATTTTGGTGTTCTCCATCGTAACGAAAGCCATGGTTCATTAACTGGTCTCACAAGAGTAAGACGTTTCCAACAAGATGACGCTCATATCTTTTGCACACCTGATATGATCCGTGAAGAGATTGCTCAATGTCTCGATTTTATGAAATTTGTATATAGTGTTTTCAATTTTACTTTTCATTTAGAACTTTCAACTAGACCAGATTCATTCTTGGGTGATATCGAAGTTTGGGATAAAGCCGAAAATGCACTCTCTCAAGTATTAACAGAGTTTTGTGGTAATCAATGGAAAATCAATCCAAAAGATGGTGCTTTTTATGGTCCAAAAATTGACATTCATCTTAAAGATGCAAATGGCAAATCTCATCAATGTGCAACAATTCAATTAGATTTCCAATTACCAATTAGATTCAATTTAGAATATAATGATGGAAAAAAAGAAGAAACTGAAAATCAACAATCAGCCGTTAATCGTCCAGTTATGATTCATCGTGCATTATTCGGTTCAGTAGAAAGAATGATGGCAATTTTAATGGAACACACTGGTGGTAAATGGCCATTTTGGTTATCACCTCGTCAATGTATTGTCGTATCTGTATCAAAGGCATTCAATAACCATGCATTAGAAATTCAATCCAAACTTAATCAATCAATGGTGGATATCGATGTTGATGTTGACATTAGCGATAATCTTATTGCAAAAAAAGTTTTCGAGGCAACTCATCTCCAATATAACTATATTATTGTTATTGGTCAAGAAGAATCAGATTCTGGTATATTAAGTGTAAGAGAACGTGATAGTAAATCTAAAGAAAATAGAAAACTTTCAATTGATGATTTATTATCAGAATTTAAATTAAATTTAAAAAATTTTAAATAATATAAGAATACTAAATTTTAAATAATATAATAATATAATAATATAATAAATTAAAAATTATAAAATACAAATAAATAATATAATAAATAATATAATAGGAATATAATAAATAATAATAATATTTAATAAAAATAATATTTAATTTAAAAAAAAAAAAAAAAAAATTTATTTTTTAAATCAGTCCAAAAATATATTTTATTTACTTTAAAAATTTATTATAATTATTTTTTCAAAGTATATAAAATAAAATATAATGTTTAGATAATAAATAAATATTTTACATCATTTAAACTATGTTTTATTTTTCTAGTTTCCCAAAAATGGTAATTTGTTAAAATAAAAATAATAAAAAAAAAAAAAATTGGAGATATTTATCATATGACTCTTTTATTAAATTTAAAAAATAATTTCAAATTATTAATCTATTCTGTATATTATATATACTTATATATACATTTATATAAAATATAAAGTAATATTACTTTTTGTTTTTATTATATAATTTAATATTATGTGGCAGTTGTTATTTGATATCTTTAAAAAAAAAGAAAAATGATATTTAAAAAAATTAAATCTTACTAACATACAATTAAAAAAATTTATATCATTATTTTACTATTTATATTTATATCTTTTAACAAAAATTAATTTAATCTTTTTTTTTTTTTAATATGTTAAAAAAAAAAAATGGGGTTGAAGAATGGTTTTGTTTTTTTTGTATATCAAATTTTATACATAACATTTACTAGTGTGAAGTATGTGTCCATCTGTGTTCGTGTTGTTTATTTGTGTGTGCATGTTACTAAAGTGTTGGAGAGTGATTTTAATCATATTTTTTTTTTTTTTTTTTTTTTACCAAAAAAAATTTATTTAATTTTTTTTAGTAATATGATATACCCATACTAAAATATTAAAATATCCAAATAAAAAAACAAATAATTTATTTTATTGAAAATAATAAAATATAATCAAATAAACGTGAATAACTTGGGTTTCTACTGTGTGGGAATGTAAAAATACAACTCTTAAAACTAAACATATAAAATCAATATTTTTATTAATATTTTATTTATTTAAACATCAAATAATAATATCTGTTTTTTAAATTTTAAAATTTTTAAATAAATTATATTAATAATTATAATTATTATTTAAAAAAAAAAATATAAATAAGAATTTTTTTTAATTATTATTTTAGTTTATTTAGTTTAAAATAAAATAGAAAAATATCAAACAAATTCATTTTTTTAGATACATATAGAAACAAAAAATGAAATTTAAAACATTATCATCAGTATCATTGTATTTATTTTTAATTATAATTTTATTATTTACTACCTTTATCAGTGCCAATACATATACCACAGTATTTGAAAATCCAAACCCAAATCAAAAATCTTCAAAAATAGCGAGTTCACAATTAAAATGTCCAAAAATGAAGGTTGATTTTTGCTATGGTGGTGTTAGTGATCAATGTAAAATAGACTCTGATTGTAAAATTTATGGAGAAAATCAAAAATGTTGTTTAAGAGTTGGGTGTGGTATGAAATGTGTGCATGGAATCAATGTTTAATCAAATAGAGGCAATACTCAAAAAATAAAAAAATAAAAAAAACTTGTATTTTTAAAATATTACTGGTATTCATTTTATTTATTTCTATTTTTTAATTATCTCTTTTTATTTTTTTTTCTTTTTTTTCCCTGGGTGAATTTTTATAATTATATTAAATATAAAGAATCGATTTTAGTAAAGGGATAAAAATTATTATCGGAGACCTGGTGTTATATTTTTTTTTTTGGCAGAAACCAAAATAAAAAAAAAATTAAAAAAAAAAAAAATTTGTTTTTTTAGGAAAAATAATTTTTTTTTTTCTCGAAAAATTTTTTAAAAATTATCTTTTATTTAATATAAGAGTGATTATTTAAGTAAAAAAAAAATGTAGAATCAAAATTGGACTAAAGAAAAACCTGGTGATATATGATTGATTCTTATAAAAAGAAAAAAAAAAAAAAAAAAACAATTTCAATCAAAAACAATCAAATAAATAAATAATAAATATTAATTTTAAAATATTAATTATTAAATAATAAATAAAAAATAAAAAATTTAAATACTTTTTGTAAACAAACTTCAATTAAAAAAAAAAAATTAAAAAAAAAAAATGGGTTTCGATATTGAAAATAACTCTACTGCCACCCCAGCTACTACTATCCCAAATACCACTATTTTAGTAAGACCACAACAACCAATTGGCCCAAGAGACACTTTATTTAGATACAAACTTGCAAAAGAGTATAGTTGGACGGGTAAATTTATCCAATTCAAAACTACATTTTCAAACTATCCACTTGAACTAAACAATTACTTACCAGTTCAAGAAATGAGTAATTTAATTTGCAAAGCTAATGGATTAATTGAAAAGGAAAGGTATAGAAGAATAATGACTTTAATCGTGTTCCTTATTGGTTATTTGCTTTTCAGTGCACCATTAATTTATGCTGCCTATAGTGGTATAACCACCTTAGTCATTGCAATACCAATTGTAGTCATATCGTTCATGGTTTTCGCTCTTACAATCTTAATAATTCTTGATAAAAAGGTATGTATAAAACAATAAAAAAAAGTATATAAATAATCAAACAAAATATTAATATAAAAATAAACAAAATTCAGAAAATTAAAAAATTAGATGAAGAATTATTAGATATTGAAACAAGAAATAAATATAGAGGTATTATTATTTCATTCAAAAGAAAGAATGTACCATTCAGTAGAGCATTGGATTTTAAAGCTACTGTATATTATCCAGGCTATAACACATTACAAACAGCTCCACAAATGTATAATCCATCCACCTCTATCAACCATAATTCCACACCATCCTACATCCCATCCCCATATTACCAAACTCCAAAAACCCAAGAATCCACACCTTTATTAAAACAATAAATATATTATAAAAATTATATAATTTTAAAACAATAAAACTTTATATATAATAATAAAATATATTTACATTATTATTCTTTAGAATAATGATCAATTTATTTTTTTTTTTTTTTTTTTTTTTTTTTTTTAATTTAATTTTTACTTTTATTTACTTTGTTTATTTATTTATTTATTTATTTGTATCTTTTTAATAAAATTGGAGCTTGTTATAAGATGCCATTATGTATAATTTTTGAAACCTTCCATAAATCATTTTACAAAATGATAATTGTTTTTTTTTTTAAAATTAACCCCATATAAAAAAAAAAAATTAACCCTATATAAAATTTCTAAAAATTTTACAAGATAATAATTTCTTCTTTCACTATATCTCAAAAACAAATAATTATTATGAATTCATTTATTAATTTTTTTAAATATTATCCAAAATACTTTGGGTAAAAAAATAAAAAAATAAAAATAAAAATGAAAATAAAAAAAATAAAAAAAATAAAAAAAAAGTTGTTTATGATCAAAAAAAAAAAAATATTAACAAAAATAAAATTATATAATACTCGCCGTTTTATTGTTATAAAAAAAGTTTAAAGAAATGATAAAATAATAAGAAAAATTAAAAATAGAACACAGAGAAAAAGAAACAAATGGCTGATAAAATTATAATCACTATGAGGAATAGGGTATTTTTAAACAAAAAAATATTCTAGAAATTTGAAATTTAATAAATATTAAAATAAAATATAAAAAAATAAAAAAAACAAAACAATAGCTAGGTTAATCCATAAAAAGTAATTAATAAAGAAATATAAAGAATGATAGATTCCATGGAATACAAAAAAAAAAAAAAATTATTATTATTTTTTTTTTTTTTTAATTTTTTTTTTTTATTTATTTAAAAATACTTTTTTTTTTTTTTTTTTTTTAATTTTTTAATTTTTTTTCCATAATTTTTTAAAAAAAATTTTTCAAATTCATTTTCATTATTATTAATATATACTTCAAAATGTCACACCCACACTGCACTAGAGAACAAATTAGAATCAGAAAACAAGCTCCAGCCTTCAAAGGTGAAGCCGTCGTTAATGGTGAATTCAAAACTATCTCATTAGATGATTTCAAAGGTAAGGATTATATTATCACTATACATTTTGATGTTCTATATTTCCTTATATAAAAATTAAAAAAAATAAAAAATTTTATAATCGGAATAAAATTTATACTATAAAATATTTATTTAAAGAGCATTAAAAATAAACTTTATTTTCATATGCAAAAAAAAAAAATAAAAAAAAAAAACATTCTCTCATTAAAAAAAAAAAAAAAAAAAAAAAAAAAGAAGTTTTGAATGTTTCTTTTTATTTCTTTTATTATTTATAAAATACAAAAATAACATCTTATATAATAATATATTAAATGATCATTAACTAACTTTTTTTATTTTTATTTTTATTTTTTTTATTCTAAAATACAACAGGTAAATACCTTTATTTATTCTTCTACCCATTAGATTTCACCTTTGTCTGTCCAACTGAAATCATTGCTTTCTCAAATGCTGCTGAAGAATTCCGTAAAAACGGTTGTGAAATCGTTGGTTGTTCAGTTGACTCACCATTTACCCATTTAGCTTGGATCAATACTCCACGTAAAGATGGTGGTTTAGGTGGTATTAACTTCCCACTCTTATCTGATTTAACTCACCAAATCAGTAAAGCTTACGGTGTCTTTATCCCAGAAGACGGTCACACCATCAGGTTCGTTATCTCAATATTATATTCTGTATATATAGTTTAAAGTTACTAATATTATTATTTTCCACCCCTTTTTAACCCAAAATTTGCAGAGGTTCAATCATTATTGGCCCAGATCAAGTTGTCAAACACATCTCCATGAATGACAACCCAGTCGGTCGTAACACAGAAGAAGCTCTTCGTCTCATTAAAGGTTTCATCTACACTGATACCCATGGTAAGTTTTCTCGATTGTTTTTAAACCTTGACCCAATTAAAATTGGTCAAAGACTCATTACTAATTTTTTTTTTTTCCTCTTTTCTTAACAACTATAGGTGAAGTTTGTCCAGCTAACTGGGATGAAAATGCCAAAACCATGAAACCAGATCCAAAAGGTTCATTAGAATACTTCAATGCTGTCAACAAATAAATAATCAAATAAATAAAGATTTAATCTTTTCTATTTTGTATAAATTAAAAATAATTTTAAATATTAGTGGTTATTATCATTTTAATAAAACTAGATCTTACATTTTTTTTAATATATTATTAATGGCAAATGGATGGGTCTGTCAAAAAAAAAAAAATGGTTCTGAATTTTTTTTTTTTTATATATAAAATATTCTATTAAAAAATTAATCATATTAAATAATAACCAATTAAAAAAATGGGGTGAAACCTTTATTACCCCACCTTGGAAATTAGATATATACAACTTATTTTATTTTATTTTTTTTTATTTTTAAATTTTTAATTGGGGGTATTTAATATTTTTTTTTTTAAATCTAATATTATTTTTTTTTTTGTTTTTTAGTTTCATACAAATATAATAAGAAAAAAAAGATAATAAAAATGAAATTATTAATATCAGTTTTATTATCATTATTTTTAAATGTGATTAATGTAAACTCACAAATATATACATCAAATTGGACATCAATAAATTCAAGACCTTTACCATCATGGGTAAGTATATGGTTTTATCTATATCTTTTATTTTTATAGTTATAATTTATAGTGTTTATATTAATATTGAATTATTCAATATTTTTTTTTTTTTTTTTTTAGTATGATAGTGTTAAGTTTGGAATTTTTATACATTTTGGTGTTTATTCAGTACCAGCTTATTCGGATGGTGGTTATGCAGAATGGTATTGGTGGAATTTAGAAAGTGGTGATGATAATAACTCTACAAAACAATGGCACGGTGAACATTTTGGACCAAATTTTAAATATCAAGATTTTGCTCCAATGTTTAATTGTAGAGATTTTAATGCAAATGATTGGGCCTCAATAATTGATAAATCTGGTGCAAAATATGTTGTATTAACCTCAAAACATCATGAAGGTTATACATTATGGCCCTCAGAGCAATCATGGGGATGGAACTCTGTTGATGTTGGTCCAAATAGAGATATTGTTGCAGAATTAACTAAAGCGGTAAAAAATTTAGGTCTTCATATGGGCTTATATCACTCACTATTCGGTAACTATACTACATAGAATTAATTTAAAATTTAAAACTATATATTAATTGTTTTCTTTATTTATATATAGAATGGTTTAATCCATTTTATTTAAGTGATAAATCATCAGGTAACCCACCAACTAAAGAGGAATATGTTGATACCGTTCTAATGCCACAATTAATGGATATTGTTAATTCATATGAACCACATGTCATCTGGGCAGATGGGGATTGGGAGCAAGCATCAGACTATTGGAAATCAACTGATTTTCTTTCTTGGCTTTACACAAACAGTTCAGTTAAAGATGTTGTAGTAGTAAATGACAGATGGGGCCATGGATGTAGAAATACAAATGGTGGCTTTTTCACTGGTAGTGACGCATGGTTACCAAATAAACTTATAGATCACAAATGGGAAAATTGTGAAACCATTGGGTTCTCTTATGGGTATGATCAGTTTGAACCAGCCAAAGCATACACAAACTCAACAATTTTAATTCAAAAATTTTCACAAACAGTTTCATGTGGTGGCAATTTCCTTTTAGATATAGGACCAGATGCTGAAGGTACTATTCCAATCAATATGCAAAACACACTTTTAGATATCGGTTATTGGTTACAAATTAATGGAGAATCAATTTATGACTCATCACCATGGAGAGTTCAAAATCAAACTTCATCTATTTGGTACACCACAAATAAATCAAATGGTGCTATATATGCCTTGGTCTTTGAGTACCCCGAAAGTGGTCAATTGTTACTTAACGATCCAATTTGTAATTCAAACTCTCAAGTAAACCTTTTAGGTTTCAAAAGTGCCTCTAAAATTACTATTCAACTTCCAAAATCAAACGATCAGCCTGGTATTACTTTAAATTTACCATTTGCCTCGCCACAAGACTATCCACCATTTGTTTATGTATTTAAATTAGTTGGTTGTAACTAAAAATAAAAAAAAAAACAAAAAAAAATTAAAAAAATAAAAAAAAACAAAATTTTTTTTTTCCAAATAAAAATCATTCTAGAAAATTTCAATTTTTCAAAAATTTAAAGTTTCAGAAATTATATAAATATTTAAATTATATATATAATTTATATATATATATTTTAAATGATCAAATAAAAATTACTAAAAAAAAATAGAAAAAAATTATAAATTTATTGTTTTTTTGTTATTATAATATTAAAAGTAATTAATTTAATCATCTGATTAATCATATTCAGTGCACCTTCTCGCCATCCAATTCTTTTAATTGAGAGCATTTTCATTCATTGAAACCCACTCAAAAATATCTAAAAATGATATTTTTTTAAATAAAATATTTTTTTTTTTTTTTTTTTTTTTAATTAATTTTTTTTATTATTTTTTTTTATTAAAAAAAAAAACAGGTGTTTATGTTTTTTTTTTTTTATTTCATTTTTCATTATTCCCCCCCCCACCAAAAAAATAGACATAAATAATATATAATAATATATAATAATATATAAATAAAAACAATATATAATAATAAAAATATTTAGATATAATTAAATATAATTTAGACTATACTAATAATATTTATAAATATTTTTTTTAGATGTCCTTTTAATTTCTTTTTACTTTTCAAGAAAAAATTAAATAATTAAAAAAAAAAAAAAAAAAAAAAATAATAAAAAATAAAAAAAATATATTTATTAAATCACAAGCATAAATCAAAGTTAAATTTATTTTTTTTATTTTTTGTCATTCTTTTTTTATAATTTCAAAATTTAATTTATTTATTTATTTATTTTTAATTTATTTATTTATTTATTAAAATATAAAATATAGAGATATTACTTTTTATACATATATATAAAAAAAAAAAAAAAAAATAATCTAAAAAAACAACATATATCACCAAAAACCCAAAAATATTAAAAAATTTTAAAAAAAAAATTTTAATTTTTTTTTTTTTAATTAATTTACAAAAAAAAAAATAATTATTTCAGTTCAATTCAAACAACAATTAATAAATAATATAGTTTTCTATATAAAATAAAAAATAAAAAAAATATTCATATAATTACAAAAAAAACAAAGAAAAAAAAAAAAAGTAACATAATTTTTTTTTTTATAAAATAAATAATACACTTCACGCATATATAATAATTTTAATATAAAAAAGTTTATAATTCCCAATATATCCCTTAATGGTTATTACTATAATTAATATTCACTCAATATACCAATTTACGAATTTTCATTTTAAATTTCATAATAAACTATTAACAATTACACCAAGATTATAAATAAATAATAAATTACATACACATAAAATAATAACAAACTAAATAAAACATTATATTAAAAGGATAAATAATAAATAACAAATTTAATAAAATGTCAACTGCTCCAAATAAAAATAACAACAATAATGATACCCCAAAGTAAGTAAAAAAAATAAAAAAAAATTAATGAAATTTTAAATTTAAATTTATTTTTTATTATTAATATTTATTTTGTGTTTGTGTTTGTTTTTGTGCTAGTGTTAATTGTTTTTTTTTTTTTTTTTTTTTTTTTTTTATTTTTATTTTTATTAAAATTATTTATATGTGTGTTAAATATTCTATATATATTCATTTATTACATTCATCACATACACACTCACTTCACACTCAACAACTTTACACATATATGTTTATTTAAAAACTACACTTTTGCTAATAAATTATTTTCTTTTATTTTAGGATGAATGATAAAAATGATATTAATGACAATATTGATATAAATGATCAAAATGACATCGAGGTTGAAGAAGACGAATGGGCTTTTGTAGATCTTTGGGATAATAATATAGATCAACAAAATTTATTAGAAAGATTTTGGAATGATCTTATTAAAACAACTTCAAACACTTCAGATATGCAAACTCTAAGTGATTGGAATAAAGCTATGTCCCCTGAATCTCAAAATAATCCTGATATACCAGATTTACATATCTTATTAGCTTTTAAAGCAAGTGATTTAGAAACAATTAAAAATTCAACAGATACTTTTAAAAGTCCGCCACATAATATTTATAATAATTATAATTATAATAATAACAATAATAATAATATTAATAATAATAATAATGGTAAAACTACATCACCTTCATCTTCATCTTCATCAGTATCATCAAATACTACTACAACAATTTCAAATAATAATTTATCAACACCACCAATTTTAGTTACAACATCAAATAGTATTAATATTCCAACTAAACTTTCAACACCAAATGTTTCCAATTCATCAGCACCATTTTATACCGGATCAAATAACAATATCACTACTAATGATGATTTAGAGTTATCCTCATCTTCTTCGTCAGGTTCATCATTTTCATCAATCATTAGTCCATCACCAATTTCATATATTACTACAAATACTATGATTTCATCATCACCATCAAGCACTGGAGATATTTTAATGAGACCCGGTGGTAAGGTCACTCCCCCACAAATTCTAAATAATAGTTCCCAGGTTATTGCAGGTGTAATTTTTGAATATTATCCAAATATTAATTGTGGTTTATTTTTACATATGATTATTCAAAAAAAACATAGAAATATGGTATGTAATTTACTATTTAATTATAATAAAACCAAAATTATAATATATTAATATTTTTTATTTTTTTATAGGGATTAGAAGGATTATTAGTTAAAAGAGCTATTGAAATTTTAGATAGAAATGCACATTCACATGGTCATTTGGCAGGATGTAATGCAATCTTTTTTGAAACTAAATCAGCAGTTAACAGCGGTATTCCACATCAAAGTAGTGATCCAAACCAAATTGATCCAAGACAACAACATTCAATTCTTCATAAGATTGGTTTTAGATTAGTAGATTTTGACTATACTAAATTACCATTGGTTCGTTTGGGTAAGTCAACCAATTTATTATTGACAGTTTATCTTTCTCCACATATTCCAAGCCAAAGTAGTTTAGATGGCGACAAATATTACTTACCAAGTGTACTTTTAAAGAATTTTATTTATGATCTTTGGGATACATCATATTTAAATTCCAAAGTTTCAAAGAAACCAGATGAAGATCCAGAGTATGGAAGAGCTTTAGAACAAATTGAATTACGTGAAAAAATTCCATTGTTAGATTTACCATGGGGTGCTGGAAAGCCATGGACACTAGTAGATTTATATGAGGATTATGACGAAGAGCTCTTAGAGCGTTGTTACAGGGAATTTATGGTACCAAGCGTTAAACATAGTGAAATTCCATCTTTAGGCAATGTCCTTAGAGCAATGTCCCCTGAAGGTGAGGATTCATCCTACTTACCTGATGTCCATGTATTGTTAGCTGTTAGATGGCCTGCTGACTTTTCAAAGGATGGTGGTAATTCCCAGCCAATTATCGATGGTTTATGTGTTTTCGAATATCATACAGAACAAAATTGTGGTATTTTAACCCATTTAATTCTTCAAAAGAAAAACAGAGCATCCGAAGGTTTAGACTCTCTATTGGTAGATTCAGCTGTTGAGATTTTAGATACAAATGCAAGGGAACGTGGTAATTTAGCTGGTTGTAATGCAATTTTTCTTCACATTAAAAATCCATCACAAACTGTTAGTCCTGATGTAGTCGATATCTGTCAACACCACATGCTATTATACAAGATGGGATTCAAATTATTAGATTTCGATTATTATATTCCACCACTTGATAGCATTACTTCACCAAAAAAGATGATGTTGGGTCTCTTCATTACACCTTTAATTCCAAAATCAAATGAAAAAGGTGATCGTCCATTCATTCCATCAAATCTTTTAAAGCAATTTGTTGAACTTCAATGGGACAATGCTTTTGGATCAGAGCAAATTAAAAATTCACCAAACACCTATTTAGAATACCAAAGAATGATCGAACAGATAGAATTACGTGAAAGAATTCCATTATTGGATTTACCATGGGATAGCGGTAAACCATGGACATTGGTCGATCTTTGGGAAGATTACGATCGTGAATTATTAGAACGTTTCTACAAAGAAATTATGATACCAAATTTCCCAAACAAGTACGAATTGGAGCCATTGGAAAACTGGATCCAAGCATTTTCAAGTGAGATAAGAGATGATCCAAATATCTCTGATCTTCATATTCTTTTAGCTCTCCGTTGGAGTGACAGCTCTACCCAACCAATTATTGAAGGTGTTATCATTTTCGAATATTTCTCAGCAAATAACTGTGGTTTACTTACTTATTTAATCGTTCAAAAAACATTCAAAGGAAAAGGTTTGGATCGTATATTGGTTGAAAGTGCTATCGAAATTTTAAATCAAAATGCTAAAAGTCAAGGTTTCCTTCCAGGCTGCAATGCAATCTTTTTAGAGGTTTATTCCGGTGAAAAAGTAACCATAAAGCAAGATGTTGTAGATCCACGTATGCGTCATTCAATCTATCATCAAATTGGATTTAGATTGATAGATTTCGAATACATTGCACCACCACTCTCCATAACCTACCCAAAACTCAAACATTTCCTTTTAACTGTTTATCTCACAGAGCACATACCAAAGATGCCATTAGAGGATGGGAAATATTATTTACCAAGCAGTGTTTTAAAGAATTTTATTACTGTTCTTTGGAAGAATGCATATGCCACCAATAAAATTAAACATCAACCCCAAGTCGATGGAGATTTCACCAGAATGATAGAACAATTCGAATACCGTGAAAAAGTGCCATTATTGGATTTACCTTGGGGTGCAAGTAAACCATGGACATTAGTAGACTTAAGAGATGACTATGACGAGGACTTGATGGTACGTTTTTATAATGAATTAATGTTACCAAATTTCCCAATGAAGAATGAGTTGGAGCCACTTTCAAATTTCATCAGTGCACTCTCAGAGGAAAGAAGAGAATCCTATAATCCACATCTCAGCGAAGTTCATGTCTTATTAGCTTTAAGATGGCCAACAGATAGCTTTGATCTCCAACCTACTATTGGTGCCGGTATTATTTTTGAATACTATTCAAATACAAATTGTGGTTTATTATCATACTTGGTTGTTCATCGTTCATCAAGAGGTCAGGGATTGGCAGGTATTCTCGTTGAAAGAGCAGTTGAGCTCTTGGATAAACATGCTAAAACTCGTGGTCAATTGGCTGGTTGCAATTGCATCTTTTTAGAAACCAATTCTGCAGAAAAAGTTACACTTCAACAAGATGTTATGGATCCTCGTATGAGACATACAATCTATTATAAAATGGGCTTTAGAATGATCGATTTTGAATATATTATGCCACCACTCTATGCTGGATTCGAAAAACTTCGTGGTGTACTCTTATTGACCGTATATCTTACACCTCATATTCCATATCAAGATGTAAATGGTAAAAAGCAATACTATTTACCAAATGTATTACTTAAGAATTTTATTGGTTCTCAATGGGAAAATGCCTATCGTAATAATCGTCTCTCTGTATTACCAAATCAAGATGTAGATTTTACCATGTCGCTAGACCAATTGGAAATTCGTGAACGTGTTCCATTATTAGATTTACCATGGGGTGACGGAAAAGATTGGATGATTGTCGATCTTTGGGAAGATTATGATCAAGAACTATTGGATGCTTTTTACAAGAAATATATGATCACCCAATTTGGTACATCAGATGAATTAGAACCATTGGACAATTGGCATAAGGCTTTATCAGATGAAGGTCGTGATGATCCAAATATTTGCGATCTCCATGTTTTATTGGCTTTAGGTTTGCCAGGTGAACACAAAGGAAAAGGTCACAAATATATTATTGGTGGTTTGGTTTTCGAATATTACCCAGAAACAAATACTGCTTTAGTTACATATTTGGTTGTAAATCAACGTTGGTCAGGTAAAGGTATTGGTACAGATTTGATATTACGTACACTCACTATTTTAGATCAAAATGCAAAACAAAAGGGTCATATCGCTGGTTGTAATGCAATCTTTTTAGAGGTTATGTTTTCACCACAAAGTACCATTAATGGTCCAGATTCATCCCTTAGCCATGTTTTCCTTTTCAACAAAGGTTTCCGTCTTTTGGATTTCGAATATTATCAACCACCAACTTCTTTAAAGAATCCAAAATCAAATAATGTATGTCTTACTGTTCTCCTAACTCCTCGTATTCCTAAGCATGGTGAAGGTAGTGAAATTCAACCATTTGTTCCATCATCTCTTTTAAGATCTTTTATCACTACTCTTTGGGAAGATGAATGCGGTTTAATTGGTTACAATTTCGAAAAAGATCCTTGTTATTTACGTATGATGAATCAATTGGATAACAATGAATATTTCCATTGTTTAGACTTACCTTGGATTAAACATAGAATTGACCCAGCTACTTTACCAATTTCAACTGATAAATCTGCAAATAGTTTTGAAAATCATATAAATTTTTCAAACTCATTTAATAATTTAAATATTAGTTATTCATCACCAAATCCAATTCATTTAAATTCAAAAGATCACATTTTAAATAATAATAATAATAATAGTAGTTTAAATAATAGTGGTAATAATATGATATATAACACCAATAATAATGAACAAAAAGAACAATCCCAACCATTAACCCCAAATTCTCAACAACAACAACAAAGAGAACCTCCATTACCAACACAACCATTAACTCCAAAATCACAACAACAAGTTGTACAACAGCATTTAAATAATTCATCTTCAAGTTTAACTCCTACCTCAACTAGTTTAAGAGCTTCAGCAAATAATCAAAGAAACTATTTAAATTCAAGTGGTGGGTTTGTATTAAATAATTTGGAAAAGCTAGATAGTAGTTTAGGTAAATCAAATAGTAATAATAATTTAGCAGGCACCTATTTTAGCACATCAAATGAAAATAGTGGCGATCAAAATGTAGCTAATAATAATGTATCTGTTCAAAAAGATAAAATGAAATTTTCAACACCAAATTCCTCTGCACCAAGTTCACCTATTCTTTCACCACAAAGTTTAAGCTCAATCATATTACCATCTAATGCTGCTCCATTATCTCCAGCTCTATTCCCAAAATTAAGTAACTCCTCGATAGTCCAAAAAGTAACTTTAGATAAATAAGAGTATTAATCAATAATAATAATAAAAAATAATTTAAAAATATATTTAAATAAATATTTTAATTTTATTTTTCTAAAATTTTTAAATATAAATAAAAATGCAAGAATATTTGTATATTGGATATTATTATAATATTAGTGTTATAAAATAATTATTACTTTGTTAATTGATAGTGATACTAGTTTTTATGCATATGGACTACTTAAAAATACCCCAACACAACTTCCTAAATTATAACCAAGATTTTCATATGACCCAAAAAATAAATTTATCATCATTTTCTAATATTATAATAAAATAATTAGTTAATGTTTCATTTTATATATTTATAAATTTTAAGAGTTTTTTACATTAACATATCCTGAGAATAAATATTTGTTACTTTGATAAAACCCTAGCTCTCTATCGAGTAAATAGTCTATACTAAAATATATAATGTTAAAAAATTAATAATGAAAGTAATGAAAATAAAACTTTATTAATATATAATTACCCATAGTTTTTATAAATTTTGATATAGAATTGCACTTTTTCAAAAATTAATTTTTCATTACATTCATTATTGTTTAAATTCTTTAAATTAATCAAAAAATTTTTAAGTTGGAGTATTACATATCTAACTTTTTCATCACTATAATAACTTCCTATTACATTGTTTATTTCATTATAGTTCATAATACTACTAATTTGAGTATTTTCACTAACTTGACCATTTTCTTTCATATTACTATTTGGATTTATTTTTTTTGAATTAGCCAATAAAAAATTTTGACCTTCATTAAAAACCATTGAGGAATGATTTATAGTATTAATTAAGTAATTTGAACAAACCTCAGCATTTTGTGGATTAATAAAATTCTAAACATATATAATAAAAAAATTCATTAGTATTTATTAGATACTTTTATTATTTATTTGATTACATACCTGTAAACCCTTTACAAAACCTCTAGCAATAGAAAGATATTGATCCAAAGTTAAATCCTTTAAATAAGGAGTGCTTAGTTTTTTTATATCATCAATGTTGTACAGGGTGTTATCTTGATAGTATTGATTTTTATAAAAATCCACATTGTCAATATTTGTTTCTAAAGATGTTCCTAATTTTAAAAAAATAAATAATAAAAATAAAAATGAAATTTTTTTTAACATTATAGTTATATTAAAGTGTTGCTTTTAATAAAATAAAAATTATAAATAACAATGAAAGAATATTTAACTTTTAAATTAAATCTTATCTTTAAAATAATTTTATAATTTATTTATATATTAAAATAAACATAAAAAATTAAAATAATTTTAAAAAATTAAAATATTATTAGTTTTGTTTTCATACCTATCCGGAAAATTTTTTAATATTTGAAAAAATGTTTGTATTCTATCTATTTTTAGCACTCCTATGTTACTAATTTTATTTTTAAACCAAATAACTTTAATATAAAAATAACTCCCTTTTCATTAAAAATTGGTAAAAAAATATAAAAATTAAAGTATTAAAATATATATTTTTTAAAAAAAGTTTGGATCATTTTTAAAAAAGTAATATATTTAGTTTTTTTTGATTTTTTTTTATAGATTTGTTTTAATCTATTAAAAAAAAGATAAAAAAAAGGATTACACAATTCTTTAAATAGGAAATAAATATTAAGATTAAATTTTCTTTTTTAACCAAAACTATTATTATTTTTTTGTTTTTTGTTTTTTTGTTTTTTGTTTTTCGTTTTTTGTTTTTTAACCCATTTTAAATATATAAAATTATAAATAAAAAATAATTAAAAAATTAAAAATTCAACATCTAATTCACCATCTAGGTGTTTTTTTATGTATATTTGGTGATCCAATTAATGCTACATAGGATGATGTTGAAAATAAAAATATTTCTTTATTTTATTAATTATTGCTTTCTTTTTCTTTTGAGAGTGCCCTATTCTCCAAATAAGGAAAGTTCAAATCTAATATATTAACCATAAATAAGTCTCGAATATTTCTATTTTTGTAAAATTTTTTTCTACGCTGGGTAATAATTATTGACATCAAAGAATCGAAAACAATCCCATCTTCCCATCTTTTTTAGTGGTTTGATTAAATAATTTGTGAGTTTATAAATCAAATCTTTTTATGAGTTATAACGGCACCATTCGGTGCAACCTTTGAAAAGATATTCGTGAAAGAAAATCTTCCTCTTTTAGAAATTCATACATAATGTATGGAATAATGTGATCTTTGCTGTAATTATATGGATTATCATTTATTTTCAATAAAAAAAATTATTTTATTTTGTGTGTTATATTTATTTAATTTATATTTGTTTTTAATTAAAAAAATTAATTATTATTCAAGTGGGTTATTTTTTTTTATTTTATTTTATTTTTATATTTTAAAATGCCACCTTAAATAGTAACTGTAAAAAAGTCATCAGACCAAAAAAAAATAATTAATTAATTAATTAATTAAAAAAAAAATTAGAAGAATATAAGAATAATATTTTTAATAGTAATTTAAATTTTGCTTTTTATTTTACTTTTTATATCTAATTAAAAAATAAATATTTTCCATTAAATAATTTATTTTTTAAAATTCAGAAATATTTGATTTTTCTTTAAAATTTAGAAGTTTGGATCTACAATAAAGAAAGCTAAGCATTTACCTAATTGAGTGGCTTGTTTATTTCTGTCATTTGAAACAAGGATAACATCCTAAGAAAAATAAAATTAAGAAGTAATAAAATTTTAATTAATATTAGATAATTTAATTAATTATTATTTATACAATATTTACTCTGAAACAATTAACAATTTCTTGTGAGTTTTTAGCTAAGGTAGTGACTTCTCTTTCAAGGAAAGATTTTAAACTATATAAAAATTAAAAATAATTAGTAAAATACCTTATTAAAAAAGTATACCATAGTGATATATACCCTTTATCAGCAATAAAGTTTAAATCAATGATAACTTTATCAAAAATCTTTTGAATACCACATTTCTTGGTGAGTTCAGTAACACCACGAATGAAATTTGTAATATTTGGGAGGCCGAAATTGGCGGTATTAGTGTAATCAACTTTGGTGTTATTGATGAATTGTTCGATGCAAGCATTGCTACTATTTGGATTGATAATATTCTATATAAAAAAGTAAATAATTAATAATTCAAAGTAAAAATAATTACTATATAATAAAAAAATAATTTACCTCAATACTTAGGACAGTTTCACCAACGAATAATTTAAATTCATTAGGGTTGAAATTAATAAGGAACCATGGTAATTGAATTGGTCCGTTTTGAGTTTTTTGATCAGCAACTTGAGCAGAATATCCACCAACAGATAATAATCCAAGTACTAAAATAATAGATAATAATAATTTCATTTTATTTTTTGTTTTTTTATATTGTTAAATAGTATTTAATAAATAAAAGTATATTTAATAATTAGATAAAATAATAAAAAAATTTTAAAATATAAATAGTTTTTTATTATCAATTGAAAGAATAAAAAAATATTAAAAAAATAAAATATAAATTAAAATATATAATTTTATTACAAGTTACTTTAGAAAGGTATGAATTTAAACATGCATGTGCCACCACCCCCTTTTTTTTAAAAAAAAAATATTATTAATATTTTTTTTGTAAATTAACTCATAAAATTTATATATTTTATTTTTCTCTGTTTAATGCTTTTCATTAGAAAAAATATTAATAGAAATCCACATCCATTGCCATTATCATTATAGATACTAATATAAAAATTCCTAATGGGGATAATTTTGCTCAAAAATTATATTTAATCTTTCAGAAAATCATTTTTAAAAAAATTTATCTAACCACCACCAGAAAATTAAAATAATTAAAGATTAATTTTCCAAGATTTATTTTTTCATAAAATTTTTGGATTAACAAATTCTAAAAAAATTATCTATAAACCATTTTAAACTATTTAACTCATTTAGCTTTGAAAATTACCTTAAAAGTAAATAATAAATTTCTAATTTAAAAAAAAGATTTAATAATTATTGTTTTTTTATATTTTTGCTATAATAATAATAACAATTAATAATAATAATACTAATAATACTAATAATAATAATAAAAATATAACAATATTAGTAAAATAATAATAATAATAATTTATTTTCTTTAATTTTTTTTCTTTTTTATTTTATAATTAAACTATTTAAAAAAATAAAAATAATGCTAATGTATAAAAAATTATTATAATAAAACTATTAAAGTTTAATAATTGGCCTAATAATTTAACAGAACTTGATGCTTCGGGTCTTTCTGTTGGTTGTTCAAACTTTTTACAAACTACATCAATTGCACCAATATCGTGATGTTTTCCAAAATTATCACAAGAGAAATCAGTAACTAGAACTGGTGTATTGTCACAATACATTGTATCCTTGAAATAGTTGAGGATATATTTGCAGGAACTATTAAATGGCTTAGATCCTGGGCAATCTGTAATGTTGAGAGATACTATTTCATCACATGGGGTGTTGTAGGTATGACAATTCTTTTTTGAGTTTACTGAAGCTAAATCATAATATCCTACATCATTTGAAAATATTTCCTTAGATTGGCATTTCCAAATAATATTAAAATAAATATCTTCAGTTCTGTAACTTTGTAATGGGCCATCCCTATCATCACTATTACTATTTCCTGATTCCTCTAGGTTTGCCATATCATCTTCCTCTTGTATGGATTTATTTGATTTTCCTTTTGATGGTGCAACCATTTCATCCTCATCATTATTGGGTAGTGGTTGGTCGGGTTGGGGTGGTATATCACCCAATACTATAAAATTTGATATATAAATAATAGATACAATTAAAATTAAAAAGAATGTTAATCTTTTCATTTTTGAAATTTTTTATTTTTTTCTTTTAATAAACCTTATTATTAATTAAAAAAACTAATAAATAAAAATATTCTTAAATATATAAGGCGTTAATTTAGTTCTAGAAAAAAATGTTTATATTGAATATTAAATTATAAAAAAAAATTATTTGTTTTTTTTTTTAATAAAAAAAAATCTTTTTTAAAAAAAAAACAAATAGATTAAAAACTATTTAAATAAATTGATTTTAAAAAAAAAGATATTTTAATGATACTGTTTTAATTTTGTTATTATTATTTGTTTTTTTTTATTAATATTAATGTTGTTAAAAGAAAAAAAATAAATTTAAAATAAATTATGTAAATAAATTAAAAAATAAATAAATTTTTTAAAAATACTTAATTTCCATATACATACATATAAAATATTGATCTTTTATTTGATGTATTTAAAAAACCAATACTACTTATAATAATAACCCTGAAATAAGTAACAAACCAAAAAAAATATTAAATATTAATTATTTAAAATTAATTTTTTTTTTTTTTTTTGAAATAATTTTTTTTTATTTGTATTTTATAATTATTTTTTTTTTTTATATATTCATTTCTATTTTTATATTATATATTGATCATCAAAAAAAACAAAAAATAATTTTATATATTTATAATCATAATAATTTGATTTTTTTTTACCCTACTATATATAATGTTTTTAATATAATTTATTTTACTTACCCCTTACACCCCCACTTATTCGCACATATATATTCACTTTATAAAATAAGAGTGTTTTTTTAAAATTCAAACTTTATTAATCTTAAAAAAAATATTATAATAATTGCCATTAATACTCAATATAAATAATAAATAATATTAAAAATTGTTTATCTCTTTATAAATTAAATAAATATACTAAATACCTATTTTATACCTCTATTTTTATTTATTTTGTTTTATTTTATTAGTATTTAAATTTTTTTATTAAATAAAAATAATAATATAATAATAATATTTAAAAAATAAATACTTATACCAGTATTAACATGTATATGGATATTATTATTTTTTCTTTTTTTTTGAAAATCATTATAATAATAAATATTATCTAATCTATTTGAATTAATTAATTTTATTTATTTTATTTTTTTAATTAACAGTTAGTAACTAAAAAAAAAAACCACACCATCACCAAAAAAAAATAATTATTATCTCTTTTTTTTTATAACTTAACCATTAACAATATTATTGGCAATGTATTGATGATGTAACAAATAACAAAATCACAACCACCACACCACCCACAACCACCACAAAAATAACAATAAAATGAAAACAACAATAATAATTATAATTTTATAACCATTATTATAAAAAATACTAAAAAAAAAATTTATAAACTATTAAACCAATTTACCAAACTAATTAAAATAACAAGTTATTTTATATTAAAAATCTATTTTTTTATACCAGATAAACAAAAAATCCCAGGAACCTGAATAAACAATGGACAATAAATGAAACTATATATATTAAAATATAGCTGTATTGGCCAATAAACTAGTTGCCCCCCATGGTGGAGGATCCAAGGCAATAATAGAATCTAATAATTATAAGACGACTGTTTAAATAAATCTAACAAAAAATAAAAACATATTATAATATGTTTTTTAGGCCTTTATTCTGCTATAACTTTATTGTATCACTATTTTTTATTATAACTATTCATGATAATATTGGAACACTTGATAATTGCTATATAATAATATACCGCCCTTTGTATAATGGAAACCTTTATAACACTCATCACAATAAAAGAATGGTGTTTCGTCGCAATATTGATCCCCTAATGTAACATATTTCGCTGGATAAATTTCGCACACTCTACACTTTCTTCTACGATGTTTCATTTGGAATAAAATTAATGGATATTTCTTTGGATCGGGTTCATCTCTTTCATTGACCATACGAAGTTGTTCGAATACTATAAAATGTTCACAAGAACCTTGATGACAATATAAATACTTTTCTCCAAGTGATATTTTTAAATCTCTAAAATAGGTATCTTCCATTTTTTTTTCTTTTAACTGATGAGTTGCTCTATTTTTTTCATTTAACCAGTCCAAAATGAATTTGCTATATATATAATTCTCTGGAATTCTAGTGTCATTGTAAAAAGTATTATTAATAAAAAAGAAACCTGATTTTCTTTGGCTTGCATCCAACACATGATCACTAAGGCAGTATATTTTATCTCTTAACTCTGATAATTTAGTTGAACCCAATACTAAAAACTCAAATGTTTTTCTTGGTCTAATGGGGTGGTATATTGAAACTTGAAGTATAACTTCTTTTAATGATATAAATTCACCACTTTGCGAAATTTGCTTTGGGAAATCTTCTTCTCTGTAGTTTGTAAATGCTCTTGGTTGTGTCAAATCTACATGCAACAAATTGTAATCCCCCTCCAAAAGAGATTGTAATCCCCCTCCAAAAGAGGTCATAATGCCTCATTCTGGTGTGAGGTTTGACCCAATGGCTCCATTAAAATCAATTCAGGGCTTTCTAGTGGTTGTGTTGCCTCAAGCATTAATATATCTCCATCGCCATCTTTATTTATTTTATTATTATTACTATTATTGCTGTTGTTGCCATTACTATTACTATTACTATTGTTATTGTTATTGTTATTGTTATTGTTATTGTTATTGTTATTGTTATTGTTAATGTTATTGTTATTGTTATTGTTATTGTTATTGTTATTGTTATTGTTATTGTTATTGTTATTGTTATTAACACTTTTATTAGTATCATCATTATTATTTACAAGATTTGAGGTTTTATTTATTGAATTTCTTTCAAATAAACCTTCTGAAAGATATGGTAAAGTTGCCAATGGTTCAATATACTTTGTACCAGATGTTGCCTTTGTTTTTGTATCTGCTTCTGATGTTTTTGATTTTTCTATTGTGTTATTTGATTCTGGGTCTGATGGTTGTGAAACTATTGGAGTATTTGGTTCACTGGGTGTATTAAGTAAAGGTGTTGTTGACTGTGTGGATAATGGAGTTGTTGGATCTGATTCAACCAATGGTGATGAAAATTCTGTAAATTTCTTTTCCTTTTCCCTTTTTTCTTTTTCATTTTCATTCTCTCTTTCAACTTCGTCTTCATATTCTTCCCCGCCTTCTTTTTCTGTTTCTTTCTGCTTGTTTTGTCCTTTCTCTTTTGATGGTGAATTGGTGTTGCTTTTGGTTCTTTGAATACCATTTTCCATCTCTACCTGTATGCTATCCATTCTTTTTGATATTGAATCAATTGAACTAAGTATTTGAGACATTAAAATTGTTTCGCTATCAACATCATCCTCATTATTTACATAATGGCTATTATTACCATTTCTACTGCTACTGCTATTACCATTGTGGCTATTTTTACTATTTACATTTTGTTCAATGGTAAGATCTTCAATATTTTTTGAGTAATTTAAAACTGATGAAATTTTAGATCTATTATCAGCCTCACCACCTAAACTGAATGGCGGTATCTTATCATAACTGGATGAATCTGATTCAGATAGGAAAGGTGATGCTAGTGCTGATGTGTTTACAGAGGATAGTGAGTTTGTGGAAAGTGCTGGAGATGATGTTTCACTTATAACCTCCACATGTGTTGGTAATGGCCCTCCATCTTTGGGCTTTGGCTTTCTACCTCTTTGTTTGAGTTCTTTTGGTGGCTTGGGTGGTTTGGGTTCTTTAGGTGGCTTGGGTGGTTTGGGTGGTTTAGGTTCTTTTGGTGGTTTAGGAGGTTTAGGAGGCTTGGGTTCTTTTGGTGGTTTAGGTGGTTTAGGCTCTTTAGGTGGCTTGGGTTCTTTTGGTAGTTTAGGTACAGTTTCAGATCCCCTTGATTTTTGTCTTTTACCATCACTTCTCATTTTCTTTGGTGATGGTTCGGGTAATTCTATTTCACCAACCTCCTGTTTAATTTCATTTTGTACAAGTTGATAATGTGAAACTGGTTTTATATCTTCAAGACTAAATTTAATAATAATAATAATAATAATAATAATAATAAAATGAAAAATTAGTATTACCATTATATATGGCTATTTTAAAATATCTATAAATATACTTACTCTAAATTTACAAAAGCATTTTCCATCTCTTCGAGAATGACCTCTTTTTCAATTGCTTCCCAAAATGTTTTGATGAAAAACTGAATATCGATTACTTCTGTGCTCTGCTTGTTTAAGTATTTCTCGATATTAATTTGAGATGGGTTATTATTACCCTCCAATGGTTTTGATATTAAAAAATCATCCTCTTCATCACTTGAATCCATTATTATTATTATTTATGTTATTAAAAAACCATTAAAATTGTAAACTAGAAAATATACGATTTAATTTGAATAAATAAGTAAATATATATAATTTAAAAATAAAAAGCATTAAATAGGATATTGAATATCTAAATATAAAATAAAAAATTAAAAAAAAAATTAATTTAAAAAAAAATTAAAAAAAATTAAAAATAATAAATTAAAATTTCGTTTTTTTTTTTTTTTTTATTTTTATTTTATTTTTCTTTTTATATTTTTTTTTAAAATTATACTTTTGTAAAGATAACCTATATATATTATGTCAGAAAATAAAAGAAAGTTTTATTTCAAAAAAGGAAAAGATTATGGACAACAACATAAAAAAAATAAAAAAGATAGTAATAAAGAAAAAGAAAATATAGTGTTAGAAAAGGTTAATTGCCCACTATGCGAAAATGACAGAAAAGAAGAGATTATAGAATTCTCAAGACGTATGAACAAATTATATTATACATGCAAACAATGTGGATTGGTATATTTGCATCCACACTACCATGTCGACAATCAAAAAGAAAAAACACGTTATGAATTTCATCAAAACTCACCACAAGATGAAAAATACAAGAGCTTTTTACAACCTTGTGTGGACAAGTTAATACCTCTTTTAAGAGAACATAATAAAGATCAAAAAGATAACGAAATTATAGGTTTAGATTATGGTTGTGGTCCAGGGCCAACATTGTCCTTAATGTTTAAAGAAAAAGGATTTACACTCGAAAACTATGATCCATACTTTTTAGAAAACGATAAAGTAAAACAAGCCGAAAAATATTTAGAAAACAGTGGTAATCAAGACAACAACAGCGATAAAATTGCTCAACCATTCCACTTTGTAACATGCACTGAAGCCATTGAACATTTCAAAGCACCAATTTTAGATTTAAAAAAAATTATTGATGGGGGTTTAATTTCAAAAAATAATGGTTTACTTTTAATTATGACCCAATTATTATTGACTGATGAACAATTCGAAAACTGGCACTACCCAAGAGATTACACCCACATTTGTTTTTTCAGACCAACTACATTCAACTGGATCTCAAAGAAATTTAACTCAAATCTTTTAGAAATGGACGAAAAAAGAGGCATTATAATTTTAAGTTTTAAAAATAACGAAAACAAACAAAACGATGAAATTGATAAAAAAAACAGTGAAAATAACGAAAATTACGAAAAATAGAATACCAGTCCAAAAAAACAAAATAAAATAAAAATAAAATAAAATTAACATAAAACGATAATTTTTAAAATTTTATCAAAAAATAGACCAAAATTACACATAAATTTTAATTTTATTTAGATTTCGCATAAATAATTTATAAAAATAAAACTGGTCGAAATTATTTTTTATTTTTTTGTTTTTTTTATTTTTGTGTTGCATTGTCCATAAAAATGTAATGATTACAATTTTATTTTTTTTTGTTTAGGTAGTTGACATATGAGTTTTTTTTTATTGCATTATAATAACAAAAACCATATTATCGAATTATCATAAAAATTATCAAATATAAAAAAAATATAAATAAAAAATTAAAAAAAAACGAAGTGGTTAACCAAGTGTTTTTCGTAAAATATTAATTTTTATTTGGAATGATATATAAAAATACTTTTTTTGTTGTTTATTTGAGAGAGATCACCAAGGCGATTGATTTAATTTTATTTTATTTTTATTTTTATTTTTTATTTCTATTTTTTTTTTTTTGAAGAGGTGCTAATTTGAAGGAAACTTTTAGTGGGCTCTTTGTTTGCACATTTTTTCTTTCACACCCACACAAAATCCTGCCCCACTAAAACATCATCAATAGGAAAAATCCATACCCAGTCACTCGTAAAATTAAAAAAAAATAAAATAAAAAAATTCAAAATTAAATTGTATAAAAAAAAAATCAAAAAAATTTTTTTTTGAAAACCCAGTTGATATGATAAAAAAAAATTTATAGAAAATATTTTGAAAATATCTTTTGCTTCTGGTGTTCTCTCTTTACTTATTTGTATGGTGACACCATCCATTAATTTCATCATATAAAATTTTAAAATGTCTGCATACTAATTTTAATATTATAAAATTTTATATTGGGCAACGCACCAAAACAATACAAACGGGTTATGGGGAAATAATTTTTTATTTTTTTCCAAGCTATATAGCTTTTTTAATCATTTTTTTAAATTTTTTTTCTATTTTTTTTTAATTTTTTTATTATTTTATTTATTTTTATTGTTTTTTATAGAGTACATTATAATTTTTTATAAAAATTTTTATTTTGTTTTTATAAAACTTCTAATAGTAGTAGCTGTTTCAAATAAAATAAATAAATATTTTATCTTTTTTTAAATTAGAGTCTACGTAAAAAAAAAAAAAAAATAAAATAGTTTTAATCAACTAAATTTTTTTTTAAATTTTAAACCTTATAATCAAAGTTATAAATTTAAAATTTTTTTCTTTTCAAAATAATAATAATTTATTTATATATATGTAAGTAGAAAATCAAGTTGTTTGCATTGGGTTTTTTATCCAAATTTTTTTTTTTTTTTCTTTTTTTTTTTTTTTTTTTTTACATATTTTTTTTTTTCTAACTTAAAATAGATTAATATATTTTTTTTTTAAATTTTTTATTAAATCCACTCTAATAAAAGTTAAAGTAAAATTACTTTAAAAAAAAAAATAAAATATAATAAAAAATAAAAAATAAAAAATAAAAAATAAAAAATAAAAATAAAAATAAAATTATCATTTTTTTTCTTAAAGAACCAATCAAAATTTTATTATTATTTCTTTATTCTTTTTATTATTTTTTTAATAATCTATTTTGAGCTATTTATACTATTAATGGTGTTTCAAAGTATTGGTGGAGAGGTTGAAACAAAAACATAATATAATTACTGTGTGTATACTCTATTATTTCATAAAAAAGAGTTTTGGTAGTTTAAAGTTTACTATTGCTTTATTTAGTCTTCTTTGCATTTATAAAACATAATAAGGATTTTAATCACTAAATTATGTGTATTATTGTTTTTTTTAATCATTGTAGTGTATAATATTAAATATTAAATATAGTAATCAAAAAAAATAATCTATCCAATAAAATAAAATTTTTAAATTCACATTCACACACACCCAATATTTAAAATTATTTAATGCACAGATTTATATATATTTATATATAAAAAAAAAATATCACACATAAAATTTAATTTTAGTTTTAAAAAATTAAATCTCATTTTCGCTCACTGTTAATTTTAAAATTTTGTTTATCATATAATTTAGCCACTATACCACACTCACACATTTAACGCACAGATAGCTTATAACATATGTTTTTTTATTTAATATAAAAAAAAAAAAGTGCTATTTTTAAACTATTTAATGTAAAAAACAAATCTTGTTTACAAAATATATATACAAATATATTTTAAATTTGCATGATATTAAATATAATATCAACACCCATCATTATACCCCCCCTTCCCCCTCATTGATTATAATTTTAAAATTAATTTAAATTTTTAAAATAAAATAAAAAATTTAAATAAATTTTAATTGGTTGTAAAAGTGTGTTGTTTTTTGTGTGTTAAAAGAAACAAAATAAATATTGCAATACCATATTTTCACATAAAGTTTTTAATATAAAAAAGCTATTTAAAAATTCACCCACTCTTACCCAATCAAATAAAAATTTTTATATAAAAATTGTTTTAAATTTATACTGGATTAGACTCATATAAAAAAATGACTTTCTATAGAAATATTTAATGTGAGCATGTGTGAATATACAAACTCACTTTAAAAAAAAAAATATAAAACACAACACACACAACATAAATTTTTCACACTCACATAAACACACATTTTTTATGATAATTTTTTTTTTAAAATAG